CTGCCGGGGACACTGTCAACTGACCAGGTGCTTCACAGATGAGCGAGAAGCTATTAGCAAGGCGTATGTGCTTGGTCTAAAGTTCTATCCGCGCACCACTGGCCCACCGGCCCTCTCCGGACTTGGGCCGGACACGTTGGGAGTCCGACAAACCAAACCGCACGACAGCCAGACCCTGCTCCCAATTGTTGGCGGCAGCATCTTCGGCACGCCACTGAGTCCATTTCCCCGTGCATTTTACAGCTGGGCCGCAATCTGGAGCAGCCAGAGCATCCCCAATAGCTGCATGGCTGCAAGTTGACAACAGGCGGGAACAGGGGTCATAGCGCCATGGACTTGTGATTGTTTGAACAGGTCATCCATGGGTAATTACGCAACCACAGGCCTTCAATTGACAAACCGGTAATGTCATGTAGCTATGAAGCATGATACGTGAATAGCGCAGCACTGCAGTTCATCCATTGCTACAAAGCACCGAAGGTTATAGCTTCCAAAATCTCGCCCAAGTGTGTCGCTACGGCCACAGTGGTATGGGAATCCAATACCCTATACAAACAGATTCCGAAAAGCTGACCTACCTGAAATCTTGCCTGGAAGCACGCCCATCGCCACCGCGACCAGTAATAGCGCATCTAGCACCAAGCGGCACGCCGCCAGGGCTCTGACGGCCCCGAACGCAGCTAATCTTCGATCCACGGCCGCTGTTGCATCTGTGCTCCCGGCAGCCTGACCACTAGGCGCGTTTGCGCTTGTAATGGGCAAGACCTCCGCCCCTGTCTCTCGCACATGCAACTGCTGCTTCAATCCAGCCTCCCCAGCGTACTGCCGTTGCAACAACGCATATATAGCAATCCCCGCAAACACCGCTGTACATGCCGGTAGCAGAGCGTCGCTCACTGATGCTGTGACGCCGTAAAGCACTGCCTGGGTTTGGAGCAGCAGAGGCGATGACGTGGCGGCGGCTGCTACTGCACTACGGATGCTGGGAACCAACGGCGGTGCCGCAAGCTGTCGAGTCTGCAAGGCCGTCAGTACGGCAACCATGCATGCGGCGCCGCCGACCCTCAAAGCGGCAGAAACTGCGCCCGATGGACTGCGTTAGGAGTGTCAGGATTCAAGGGCATGCAACCGGAGGGTGCGCAAGTATGATGTTTAACGGCTCTACCAGCAATACGGAGAACCGAGGGCACTGCAAAAGCAACACGAAGAGCACAAAACAACATCCACGGTAAGCAGGGGGCTGAGCACGTGTCGTTCGCGTGCTTGAGATGAGCCTGGCCGCGCTTGCCCCTTTCCCCTTCGGCCTCCGAGGTTCAAACCTCCCGAGAGGACGCGACCGCACCCTCGCCTCGGCCAATTTGGCTGCCACTTGGCGCGAGCTACGACTATAGGAGCTAATCCGGCAGACATGTAGTTGGGCGAGAAGAGGTGCTGAAAAAAGAAAAAAAGGTGTTTTAAGGCAGCACACAATCAGTGCACCGACGTACCGTTCCCGCGGCAGGACCGGCACCAGGGGCGCTAGGAATCGTCGCAGTGGCATTGCCAGCACTGTAAGCACCCCCAGGCCTGCGGCAGCAGCCGCCATCTGCGCCAGGGGCTCCAACCAGGGCAGTCCTGCACGGGAACGGGGGCATAAGAGGCACCAACCGTTGCACATGCGCCCGCGTGGGACACAGTCCGGCGCGGATCCAATGCTATGACTCAGCAAAGGGGCTCAAGCGTGCAGGTTTCACTTCTCCACTGACGCAACGCGGCAGTCCGCAGATCTTCATTCAAAATAAGCATGTTGGCAGCAGCACCAGCAGCAGGGCGGGGACATATAAATCAACTTATGTTATACTCCAAATGTAGAACTCATGCGACAGCTCACGTCACTGGTGCATTTCGCACCTAAGCACTTTTGGATTCAGTGGTCATTATGGAGTTCCGCTACACTGCCCGTCACACCAAGTCCCGTGGTTGGGTAGGAGCTCCACCCCGTGGCTGGGCCCAGGATGGGGTGGAGAAGCAAACCCGGAAAGATGAACGATAGCCCTGTTCACGGCGAGCATACAATTCATCTTACATCCCACCGCCTTAACCCCCAAACGGGCCCAATCCATACCAGGTTTCCCTACATTACCTACCCGTCCTGACAGCGGTCGCCACCGCCCTGCAGCCGCCCGCCAGCGCGCACAGCCCTGGCAGCACCACCGTCACCGCCCATGCCGCTCCGGGGCTGCTGCCCGCGTCCTGTAAGTCATTAGTAAGGCCAAGCATACAGGCGAGAAGGAAGAACAAGTTGACGGATGAAGGCCCCAAAAGAGTGTTACATCCCAAAACGGAGCGCCGTCTCAACGCACCACATTTGACCCGCTGTGAGAAAAACAGGTTAAGGTCAATATTCCCAAGCCGTCCCCGTGCAGTACGGAGATGCCGATTCCGCGCAGACATGGCGCGGGGGCCGTAGTTGTGTGAACCAGAGCCAAAGCACTGCGCCCGTAACAAAGCTTAGAGCGCAAAAGCACCAGAGGTGCGCGAGAAACCCTCCCCAAGATTCGCATGGCCCTGCACGTGGTGCATGGCAGATCCCAAGGCCAGGCCAGCCCTATCCGCTGCCTTCCATCGGCACGCACATGCACATGTCGCTCAGTTCCCTTACATGTACGCCTGCGCCACCCAATACCACCAGCATCTAATCCAACCCAATCGGCTGCCTTATCAGCACCGCTTAAGGACTATAAGTGGACCACCGCACCTTGTGTAGCCCGCTGGTCGCACCGGTCCCTTACCTGCAGTGCTTCCAGGATGTGAACCCGCCCTGAACCCCCCACGCCGTCCATGAGCCCCGCCGCCGTGCGCAGGGCCACGTCCACCCAATCAACAGAGGCCACTGCTGCGGCTGCTGCGGCATTGGAATCAGCGATACCGAACCGAGATGCCGCCGCTGTGGCACCGGGCGCCAGGCTACCAAAGGCGGCGGCCGCAATAGCGGCGGCAGATGCCAGAGCGGCGTAGCAGATGCTTGCGAGGCCTACAGTGGATGCCCTGCGCCATGCAGCGCATGGGTCCGGGGTGGCATAAAACGGAGGATGGGGACCATGCTCCGTGAAATCCGCGCATGACCCCGTTTGCAAAAGGAGGGCCGACGCTCCACGCATGCTCTGTTAGGCATGCAACAACCCAAAAAAACAACTTGCTGGCTTTCCACGCGCTGCCAGGAAAGCGAAACTGCACACAGCACTTTCCCGTTGTTACCTAGCCTCTAGCTGCCACTTACCACGCTACCCCCCATATCGCTGCTGGCAGCATGACCAGCGCTGGCCAGCGGCCGGGAGGCCCTGGGCTAGGACCCTTTTTCAACCTCGCCTCCCCCGCAGATCCTGAGGCAGTTTCACCTGCCGGAGGCAGGCCCGCGCCGATTGCTTGCCCCTCCCACGCCCTCAGCGGCTCTTGTTGCGGCTGTTGGCGAATACTCTCGTACTGCCTTGCATCCCCATCATCCATAACGATAGGCACAACCACCGTTAGCTCGCCTGGTGGCCACGGCTTTTCATGACCAAGGCCTGGGCTTTTGTTGTGGGCTTGCGAGTGCGGCTGGTAACGGTTCGCGTCGCCGCCGGGGCTGTGGATGGAACGAGAAATTATCAGTCTTGACTGTCGCGTGCTAGAGGATGTGGGCAAAGTGACTGCTTGGAATGCATTGTTGGACAAGGAGTACGTTGGCAGACGTCGGTAGTGACGATCCCGCACTTGAGGCTGGAGCTGAAAATCAGCGTGGTATAACTCGCATCCAGCCATATCTAACACGCGATAAGATTATCGCCACAACCGTTGGACAATGAGTAAATTAGTAGACACGAGTATGTTTCGTCCGATTCTATCGTTACCCATATTTCGCCCAAACCAGGAATGGCATACGGCTTCTTGTCCATATGGAATTAAGGTCGGACATCATTAGAGCAAAATGTGGCTGACTACGCTTAAGAGGGCTGCTGCTCAGGATTGCGCATACATTCTATCGCTTTGGTTGCAGCTGCTAAGTGAAACTGCACCAGGAAGCTGCACAAGTTGTGCACTACCTTAATAACCCTCAGGAAACCCCAATGTGTGCTCCGGAACCATAAGCCGTGGCCTGTTCCATGGAGCATATCCCTGTCTGCTCCATGTCTTAAGGAAACGGTTAAGGTGATCTCCCCAAAGGAGGCATCCTTGTTTAAGCGCCCCTCTCCACTCCAGGGGCCACTCAGGGAGGTCCAGCGTCGGCTTTCAGAGAAGCCGAGCACTCAAGACCAGATAGAAGCTCAAGACTCTGTTCTTATCTTCTGTATGTGACGCTGCACCTTTATTAAAACGCTTGCAAAAGACATGTTTTTAAATGCAGAAAACATGTGTTGAAAGCCGTTATGAGCGAGGCATACAAATTTCATATAGATACTCAGACTGATACCGTACACAGGCGCATGTCATGTTTGGTTGACTTGTCTCTCAGCGCGTCACGGACGTCCTGGTAGCATGTCATTTACATGGGGCATGCATACACCTTCTAGGAAGGGGTGCCATAACATGTGTGTGGATGCACAACACTCAGACACACAGCTTGAAGACAAGCTATCCAGTTTAAGGATTGGAGCTTTCTAATTGGACAGTGTTCCGACATGAATTTACGCCGTGACAAAGCCTGTGACAATTACACCCTTTAAGCGTTAAAAGCACAGCATGGGCCTTGCGCGACAGCCAGTGTCCGAATTATGCCGAACTACGGACAGCGTTACACTCGCCTCTTTTTTTATTATTACCTTTAGGATAACTTAATAGCAGGTCTCGCACGCAGCTTGCTCCCCGCCCTCGCTTGGCGGGTAAGTTGAACGTATACCTTGCTTACTAGTATAGCCTATTTTTACTGAATTCATTATTTAAATACACCTGGGTGCGTTTCATTTGCTCAACAGGTAGTTTGAATGCGGAGCTACGGTAGTCAAAAACCCGAGTAACCGGTTTTCGCAAATCCATGCCGATCGCAACATCAGATGGATAAACGGAAACAGGAGGAGCTTCAGCGTGCTGGGCGGCAACGGGTAGGGCAGCAATAAGCCTATAACAGAAGTCTATACGGCCTAGACCAACGGACATTCTTGTCAATGTGCAGCTCGAGGAGTTCCGCAAGCACAGAGCTGATAGACAGACTGGAGGCTCTTTAGGAAGCTTAAATGCATCTGCGCAAGCAGCGGCAACTGAGGCAAGCCCCGGACGATCTGCACAGAAGTTCTTGCCTTTTTCATCAAATCTCACCACTACATATTGTATTCATTATTCATCTTGTTAGGCACTTGCGTCTGCAGCGGCCACCGGCGGCGCAGGTGCGTCCTTTTCGCCCGTTGCGCAAGCCCGTTACACAGCCAAGTACCATCTCTTCAGGGGGATGTTCGAGGAACCTGCAGGTGTAAGCCCGAAGAAGCCTGCCCTGCCAAGCACGGGGTCAAGCGAAACCAGGTAGAGCGACGGGTTCGAGCAGCTGCCGCACGGCAACGCGCATATGTGCGTTTTAGCTGCTGGGGTGGCATCAGGTTGGCGTGGCTATGTTATATGCTCAAGTAGTCGTGGGACCACAAGGTACCGCCCAGGCTGGCGCTGTCGCATACTCTTATACTCCTTGGGAACCGGTCTTGGTGTTATCGTACATCATAGAGTTGCGTGTCCACCTGCATCCGAAACATGATTGGGAAAGGTCTTGGCATATGGGGATCACTGTCAAGCCACGCGGGGCTTTGGCTGGGTTACCCAGGCGTTCCCACGGCTTAGCTTCAAGGGTCCGCTCCACTTGTCATGCAAACCCTGCTAGTTCAGCGCAACGCTTCAAGGGGATTGGGGTTTGGTAGCCCCGCTCTATGGCATACATGTGAAACTCGCACTGCATGGCTTGTCCCGGACAGGCTGCCTGAAGGAGCAGCGGCCTAATAGTCCGGTGCAGCTCGAGTTGACTTGCGTTCGCAACTGCACAGGCAGAGACCTCCATTGCCCGCTGATGCCCATTACCCTTCAGTGCTGATCACTGTCCTCGTGACGGATGGCTCAACCATCTCTGGCTCACGGGGATCCGTTCCGTCGGAGTCGCAACCTAAGTAACCTGACCTGATCTGGGGTCTGTATAGCCACAACAGCTCTCACGTGTGGACCGCCGAATATGGCTACCCTGCCTTGGCCCACCCCCATGCAGCTCCATGGCCCCAACCGCCATGGATCTGTTAAACAGGGAACTGGCGCAGATGCGGCTGCGGGTAGCGCAGGCGGAGGGCCGCGCAAAGGAAGCCGAGGCGCGCGCACTGGAGGCGGAGGTGAAGCCTGGGGGAAAGAAATTGGGACGAAATTGCAGGACGTGGCGCAGTGTGTGCGTGTGTGTGTGAAGATTTAGGTGCCGGATATGCGACGAATGATGTTCGGAGAGTCCGAAGGTCACGCTGCTGGCCACAGTAGAACAGAGCTTACAGCAAGCGGTGGTGTGAAATTTAGTGCAACTTCTGTTTTCTTGGACCTACAGGCCCAGCTGAGCACCGCGCGGGCGTTAGGCAGTATACCTTCGAAACTGGACAGGGCCGGGAGTGGAAGCTTTCCCGCCTCAGCGGAGTCAACGTTGCGGAGCCTTGAGCTGGCGTTGGCGGTGAGGGAATTTGTGCCCCGTCTGGTTTGAGGGTTAGTGGTATCGTATTGACTGGATGGGAAAAGGAGCGGGCGTTGGGGCATGCATACATTGCCTGAGCGGTGGGCAGCGAAAGGCGTGGCGATTGTGCTACATGCGTTGTGTTGTCCGGAAGAGCTAGTTGCAGAGTCGGGGAAAGTTTGTGTCAAGTGGACAGAAGGTGCATCTGCGCGTGCCGTGCCCTAAGGGCCATGCGGTTTTAGCCGTCGTTTTCTTTGAATCTTACAACTGGAGCTTTCTGTTCTGCGTCGTATATACGGTCCATATCCTCTATTCGATTTCCTTGTGTTCTGGGGGCTGGATGTCTAGAGCGCCAATGAGGAGCGCGAGCGCACGGAGGCGGCCCAGCGGGACTTGCAGCAGCAGCTGGAGGTAGCGCAGCGCCAAACGGAGAGCGCCGTCAACCAGCTCAGAGACGCTGAAATGCGGGCTATGAGATTGCAGGTGAGGCTGACCGCAGCTAAAGGGTGGTGAAACTGCAATTACGGTTGCATACGGCGTAATGGTCAATATCGCGAAAATGGATTGCGATTTGGAAAACTTTGCTCCGCCATGCCCAGGCAACCATAGTCCATAGGCCCATAACCCGTGCTCGGGACAGTAATTAAGCGACGACGGCGACTGTGTATTCCACAGGATCAAGTGGACCCTTTGCTAGCCTCCCTGGAAGAGAAGAAGGCGACAGTGGCGGATACGCAGCGGCAGCTTGTCGCACAACAGGCGCAGCATCGTAAGGAAATGGACCTGGCGGCCAAGAGGCTGGTTGAAACCAAGGTAGGCTGCAGAGATGAGGCATGCCTTGTGGGTTTCGGCGCCTCCAAAGTCCCTCACAAACACCGCCATATTACATGATCCACCGCGTAGAATCGCGCGGCTGATCTGGAGGAGGAGGTAGACCGGGAGCGTGCCCGTGCGGACAGGATGGAGAGCGATGTGGCACAAGCGACTAAGCTTGCAGCGGCTATGCAGGTTGGCAGGGAAAGGGTAGCTTGTTAAGTTGGGGGGTCTTTGCCATATTCTCTATGCGATGCTGGACAAGACATAAAGGTATGGCAATCGACTTGAAAGTTTGTGATGAGCGTGGAGGCATCTGGCAAACGATGTCCAATAAGATTCACAGGAGAGCTGCCGTATGGGTTTTACCTGGCTTGGGCTGGGCAAGGTTGCTAAAGGGATGGCTGCTTTAAATCCGCAATGATTTGTTGCCTTGTCACGGTGGTATTGGCAGGCTCGCGTTGAGGAATTGGAGCAAAGCACACAGCGCGAGTTGCAAAAAATCCGAGACAAGGTAGGCACAACGTTGGGGCACGCATGCGCTGGGATGTGCATGTACCTATTGCAACCTAAGGCGAAGGAATAAGATCGCCTTTGACTAGATGGAGCCATTAGTCCTCAGCTGCCAGAGGGTCATTTTGCAAAATGTAGTTTCGGCATGGTATGGCGTAGGCTGCTATGTTGGAGAAGCAGCTTGCGGAGCGTGACGCGGAGCTCGCGGTGGCACGTGAGGCCACAGAGGACGCTGAACACAAGCTGGCTGCTGTCCGCGAATACGCTACGTCGAATGTGGACGAGCTGAACGCTGCCCACGATCGGCTCGCGGTGCTAGAGGCCCAGCTTGCAGCTGCTTTGGCGGAGGCCGCGGAGAAGCTCGCTGCTATAAAGTCGGAGGCGGCTGATCGGCTAGCGGAGCTGGAGGCCGAGCTGGAAAAGGTGGGGATGCAATGTTTGCCGCCAACGATGTAGGCCGCTCGCCCACGTGATGGGATCGCAGTTCCGGAGCAGTTCGGCGGTCTTGCAGATCGGTGGGGCGTGAGTTATACAGCTTCTAGCACAAATGGGAAGGCTGCTCCCAGTCCAGTTACAGGCCTGTGATTGTGGTACCGCTGTCATCGTGGCTGTCCAGGCAGGGTTTATTCCGGCTGATGGTTGACTCTTTAGTCAGCAAGGATGTGCTTCGGGGTCCAGGCTACAACGTGCGCTGCCGTCCAGTGATACATGTACACGTACTTGTATCTGCTGCCGCAGGCCCGGGATAACGCCACAGACCTGTCGACTCAGCTATCCGAGGCGCTGGCGCAACGCGACGCCGAACGCCAGACGGTAGCAGGGCTGCGGGAAGAAGCGGCCGCAGCGGCAGCGCAGCTTGCGGCGGCAGCGGGCGAAACTAAGGCAGTGCGCGGCCAAATAAAGGTACGTAAAAGTTGTATGCATTGATATCGGCGTGTGCGGAGACTGATTATGTCATGCCAGGATAGCCTGGAACTTTTTCACGCCAAGAACTTCATTACTCTACGATACTTTGGTTGCGCTGTTGTTGTAGTGCTGATGTCAACACAGGCGGCATCCTACCATGCGTGCAGGAGCTGTCTGGGGCGCAGGGTGACTCCGCTAAATTCCGTGCGAAAGCACAAGCACTCGAGACGCAGCTGGCAGTGGCCTCACAGCGCGTAAACGTGGTGGAGGGCGAGCTGGAACTTGCAAAGGCGGAAATTGCCAGTGCGAGGGAATTCCGGCGCCGAATGCAGGTGTGTGGATATGTGCACAGGTACTCCTACACCATCTGCTTTCCCTGCTCCGGCAGCAACCCGTTCTTGGGGTTCTTGGCCTGGGCAACGGCGACCCGTCCGCAAGCTGCTTTATCGTGTGCTGTGTTTGCTCCTCAAGGTCTGGCTCCATTACCCTCACCAAATTCCGAAAAACTCTTAACTCATACACTTTTTGATTTCCGGTTTGATTCGCTGCTTGTAGGAGTTTATTGACGAGCAGGATCCTGGGCAGCCTAAGCAGCTTGCTGCCAGGCTTGTATCTGTCACAGAGGAAGCTTCAAAGCTAGCTGCAAAGCTGGAGGATGCGGAGCGCCGCTTGATGGTATGTGTAACATACCACCTACTGGCTTGTCGGCTTGCAAAAGATAGGAGGAAGGTTTATTCATAGCACCAGGACGTGTAATTCACCAGGTCGGCAGGTCCCGCAATTGCATACAGATACTGCAAATAGTGATCTCGTATGGCGCTAATATCTAAATTTTGTGTTAATCCACAGGAGAGCGCGACTGAGAAGCCTGTTAAGCAGCATGAGTCCCGCCTGCGGCGCTTCAACGTCGCACCCGAGGGACCCTTTGAAACACCAGGCGGCCAGCGATTTACCATTGGCGGCGGCGTGGCCACTGCGCCGCCGCAAGGTGCATCCGACGGCGGCGTGGGCCGCCAGGGGAACCTGACGCTTGCGGATGCCTACGCCACAGCACATGCCGCATCCATCCCGTCGGACCACTCCCTGCTTGCACTGGAGCTTGAGAAAGCCCGGAGTCAACTTAAGGGTGTCACAGAGCACGCTACGCGCCTGGGTGTTGACCTTTCAGTAGCCAAAGAGCGCATTGTGGAACTGGAGGGGCAGCTTCGGCATGTGGAGGGTGCTGCCCACAGAGCAGTCGGAGCCGATCCTGTCTCGGCACCACCACATGCGCTGGTAGAGGCACAGGAGGCAGCGGCACGGTACCAGCGCGAGGCAGAGGAACTGAGGGACAAGCTGCGAAGCGCGGTGAAGAAGGGCAAGGCGCTTGCGGAGGCAAAGGTAGCCTTGGAGGTGCAAGTTTCGGAGCTTGAGGCCGCAAAAGTGACCCTGCAGACGCAGGTTCTGGAGCTCGAAACAGCCGTAAATGCTCAGCAGACGCGGGCTTTTGAACTGGAATCCACACAGTCCGCATTGCAGATGCAGCTTGCGGAGCTAGAGAAAGTCAAAGCTGCGCTGGAGTTTCAGGCTGCCGACGTGGCCACCGCGCGGAATGCACTGGAGCCGCGCGTTTCGCAGCTGGAGGCGGAGCTAGCTGCTACCATGGCACGTGCAAATGACGCTGAGGCTGCGGCACAGCGTGCCGGTGGCCAACTGGAATCGGCAGTCCGCCAGGGGGACGAGGCGGCGGCACGTGTGATAGAGCTACAAGTCCAGCTGCAGGCTGCAGCCGCGGCCGCAGCGGCGATGGAGGCGGCCCTAGAGGCCTCGCGAGCGCGTGGTGCAGAGCTGCAATTGCAACTTGAGGCAGCACTCGAGGCTTCCAGCTCTCGCGTGGGTGACTTGTCAGTCCAACTGAAGGCGGCGGAGGCCCGAGTGTCCGAGCTGCAGGCACAAGTGGAGAGTGCGCGTGCTGCAGCTAACGCAGCGCTAGCGGCGGAGGAACACACGACGGAGCTGCGGCGGCAGATGGAGGCAGCACAGGCGGCGATGGAACGGCAGCACCAAGTGGCGGTAGACGCGGCGGATGCACGGGCGGTGGAGGCAGGTCGCCAGCTTGGGACTGCGCAGGCGGACTTAGCCCGGTTACAGCAGCAGCTGTCAGATGCCTTGGCAGCGCTTGAGGAGCAGAACGGTACGGCTGCGGCCACTACTGCGGCCGCAGAGCAGCAGGTTTCCAACCTACAGCTACAGCTGGAAGCTGCTAAAGCGGAAGCCAACGATCTGCGGTCACGTCTTGATGCTGCAGAGGCAAGGGTAGCTGAGCACCGAACATCGGCTGCGGTCTCGGAGGCACGTCTCGGAGAACTCGAAGCACAACTGGAAGCTGCACAAACGTCGGCCGCGGAGCATAAATCTTTTGCTGTAGCCGCAGAGGAGAAATCGGCCAAGCTAGAGCAGCAGCTGACTGCAGCACAGGCCGCAATGACTGCTTTGCAAGACCGGCTCGAGGAGTTACAATGTGCGGCAGCCCGGCAGCAGTCTAAGGTGGACGCTGGGGAGGCGCGAGTCGCTGAGCTTCAAGAGCAGCTAGCTGCTGGGGAGGTGGAACGAGCAGAAGCGCGGCTCCGCCTTGCCGAAGCGCAAGCCGCCTCAAGCGAACTGGAGTTAAAGTTCACTGCAGCGGACGCAAAGGCAGCTGAGCTGCAGCAACAGTTGACTGCCGCTGAGGTGGAGGCCACGGAGCTGCGGGGGCGCCTGGCGGATCTTCATGGTGCATCTAGCGATCAGCAGACGCAGGCAGACGCAGCGAAGGCCCGGGTGGCTGAGCTACAGGAGCAGTTGGCAGCGCTTCAGGGCCAGCTTGCTGAGCTCCAATCCAAGGCAGACGCCGCGGAGGAACGTATTTTAGAATTGCAGGAGCAGGTCGCATCCTCGTTGGAGCTGCGCGCCGTTGCAGAAGCACAGGCTGCCAGCGCGCAGGAGGAGCTGCTTGAAGTCCAGGCTCGAACCGGTGACCGTGAGGCTGACCTGCGCACCCGTCTGGACACCGCCGAGGCACAAGTTGCAGAGCTGCAGGCTGAACTGGTGGGCCGTGCCTCGGGCGTGGAGGAGCGTGTCATGGAGCTGGAGAGCCAACTTGAGGCGCTGCGTAGCGCAGAGCAGCAGGCGGTGGCGGAGGCAGCCGCGGAGGCTGAGCGCAATGGCGAGCTGGCCCACGCAATGGCGGCAGCACAAGCACAGCTGGCATCGGCGCGCGAGGCGCATGAGAGGGAACTGGGAGCATCGGCGAACGCAGCCGCGGCCATCTCGATGCGGAGTGATGCCGCAGAGCAGCAGCTGAATGCCGTGCTTGTGGAGCTTGAAGAGGCTCGCGCCCGCGCGCTGGCGTTGGAAGCCACGGCAGAGGAGCGCGTGGCTAGCGCGGAAGAGGCAGTTGAGGCGGCCAGGGCGGCCAAGGCGACAGTCGAGGCGCAGCTTGGTGAGGCACGGTTACAGCTGGCTTCGCAGAGCGCGGTGTTCACAAGTGCACAAGGGACGCTGCAAGCCGCGTGCGAGGAGCTAGCGCGCACCGTGAAGGAAAAGGCGGCGCAGACAGCAGAGTTGGCAGCGGCAGCATGCAGCTTGGGCAGCCTGCGTTCAGCCCTGATAGAAGAGCGAGCACGTGCCGCAACAGCAGAGGAACGCGCATGTATGGCGGCTGAAAAGCTGGCCGCAGTTGAAGGGACGGCTCAGGAAGCCGAGACTGCGGTGAGTACGCTTCGGTGTCAGGTTGCGTCGCTGGAAGAGCAGATAGCTGCGATGGAAGCACAGGGCGCAGAGCGAGAAGCCGCTGCCACGGCAGCTCTGCAGGCTGCCCAAGCTGCCGCCAGGGTTGAGGCTGAACAGCTGCGGCAGGAGCTTCAGGAGCAACTTGAGGGTGCGAGGATGGAGCTGCTCCAAGCGGCGACGAAGGCCAAAGTCGCTGAGGCCGAGCTGCAGCGGGTGCGCGAGGAATTGGCGGAGACAGCTCGGCAAGCGGCCGAGGCACATGCAGCGCGGGTAGGGGAGCTGGGGGCCGAAAGCGCGCGTATGGCTGCGGAGCTCGAGGAGGTGCGCGCCGCACAGGGTGAAGCGATGCAGGCAGAGTCTGCGCGGTACAGTGAATTGGAACAAAAGCATGCTGCGCTGGAGCAGGTGCATGGCGTACTTGAGAAGCAGGTGAAAACGTTAAAGGCTAAGGGCGCGGCGCTGATGGCAGAACACAAGCAACTAAGTGAGGCGCATGAGCAGCTCCAAATCCAGCTAACGGAGGTGCAGGAACAGAGGAACCAGCTGCAGGAACAGGTGACCAAGTCAGAAGCGGAGGTGGCTGAGCTGCAGGAGCAGCTGCAGCAACAATTGGCTGCAAATTCAGTCCAGCGCAGTGCTGCGGAGGAGCAGCTGGTGGCACGGGCACAGCAGCACGATGAGGAGTTGCAGGCTGCGGCCAGTCGCGTGACGGAGCTGGAAACGGTACTTGAAGCCGCACGGGCGCAGGCGCTCGCCGACGCTGATGCGGCGCAGCGAGCTTTGCATGACGAGCTCACGGTTGCTCAGTCGGAACGCGCGGCTCTGTTCGAGCAGCACCACGCCCTACAGAGTACTCACGACCAGCTGTTGCATGAGCATTCGGTGTTGTCGCTCCAGCTGGGGGCGGTTTCGGAGCAATTGTGCAAGCGATGTATTGCCCTTGATGCAGCTCTAAACGCGCTGGCTGCGGCCGATGCTGATGCACAACGGGTACAGCAACAACTTGATAAGCTTTGGCCGGACTTACAGGAGGCGGCGTTGGTGACACAACAGCTTACCGCTAACCGTGATGAGCTGGCGGCTGCACGTGACGAACTAGCGACGGCAGCGGCCCGTGTCAGTTTGATGACGGTTGAAAATGCCAATCTTGAAGCTGCCTGCGTCTCTGTGCGGGATGAGAGGGATAAAGTGAAGGCGCAACTTGAGAAGACTGAGTCTTTGCTAACGTTGGCACGGGATGAGGCTCGTGTGGCTGCTGAGCGCAGCATTGCGGATGGAAAGCAGCACGCCGAAATGCTTGAGGAGCTTCGAGCGCAGTTGCAAACAGCCCAAGCTGCTCAGGCAAACTTGCAGGAGCAGCTGGAGGTGGCACAGGCAGCAGAGGCAGCTTTGCAGGCACAGGCAGATGTGGCGCAGCGTACCGAAGACGACGTGCGCTCTATGCTCGAGGCAGCACAAGCTGAGCAGGCAGACCTCCGCAAGCAGCTTGAGGCAACGTTGGCAGCAGAAGCGGCCCTGCGGGTACAGGCGGAGGGTGCGCAGAACGTTGCTTGTGATTTGCGTGTACAGCTTGAAGCGTCCCAGACTGCGCAGGCAGACCTGCAGAAGCAGCTCGAAGCAACGTTAGCGTCAGAATTTGCTTTGCAGGCTCAAGCAGATGCAGCCCAGACTGCCGAGGTTGACCTTCGTGCGCAGCTTGAAATAGCACAGACCGCGCAAGCAGATCTCCAGCGGCAGCTTGATGCGACTCTAGCAGCAGAGGCTGCCTTGCGGACCCAGGCGGAAGCGGCACAGACTACGGAAACTGATTTACGCACCCAGCTTGAGGCCGCGCAAGCCGCCCAGGAAGATCTGCAGAAGCAGCTTGCAGCGATGCAAGCGGCAGAGGCCGCCTTGCTGAACCAGTTGGAGGTGGCTCACGCTGGCAGCGCCAAGGTGCAGGGCGAGACGGCTGCAGCGCAGCAAGAGCTGCGGGCGCAATTGGAAACGGCTGTTGCCGAGGCACAAGCTGCGGCTGCCGAAGTCCTGCGGCTGGGGACGGAACTCACGGAGGCACAGGCACAGGTTGCGGCATTAAGATCCGCGGCATCTGAGGCACAAGCGGCTGCTGAAGCAGCTCGTAATGAGGTGGCTGCAGTCGAGACGGCATTGAATAATCTCCGAGAAAGCTCACGTGTCGAATTGGACAGACTGGTGCAACAGGTACGGGGTACCTGAGAAGCTCTTGACCACATAGACACAAGCACCGCCTGCGATGACCATGTTTCATTCTATCTCGTACCTATGGCTAACATTACGATTTGCTGGGCTTTTGTACAGGTTACAGACCTTTCCATGGAGCTGGATCAGTCCCGTAGTCTTATCGACAGCCTGCAGGCCGATTTGACGAATGCGCAGGTGGGTTACGCACAGGGCAAGCGTGGTTCTCGGTGAAGGCACCTAACCTTCTTGGCCCTCCAATGGCCCCTGTCGCCCATGTCCTACAGCGTGAAGCCTGTACCTACCCATACCTTACCCCATGGCCCGACGTACCAATGAAACCACCTGCCCTGCTACATCCACCAACGACTATCTCGCTCCATTTTGCAGGAGGAGCTCAATAATCGTGAGATTGAACTACTAGAGGTCGGACAGGAGGCAGAGGCGCGTCAGGCGGAAGCAACGGAGGCACTGAGCCGTGTGGCCCAGCTCCAGAGCCAGCTGCGACAAATGGAGGCCACGCTGCTCGAGGATAGCGGTGCGGCTAAGGACTCCGAGGAAAAGATGGACCAGGTATGTTGTGAACTATGGAACAGGTGCCGCAGGGAACATACCGGTTCATGGCGTACACTCTGTATGGACTGGATCTGTTCATCAAACGGCATCAAATGCAACAATTTCAGTCATGTGGTCTCTCCTGGAAGACCTAACGCTGTATGCGCAACCACCAAGCACTGTTTAGACAGCAGCCGATGCAAGGATGCTGCACCCGTTGTGTTGTACAACTTGTACTGCTAAATGCGTACGTGGAACAGGTGCAAGCTGAGCTGAACGCTGCCAGGGGACAACTGGAAGCCGCGGCGGAAAGGGAGGCCACGTTGCAAGCAGAGGTTGCCGCTGCGACGACCGCAGCAACGGAAGCTCAGGCCGCATTGGATGCCGCTACTGCAGAGGTGGAGGACCTGCGCCAGAAGCTCCGCGCGGCTGTGCGCAAGGGCAAGGGCATCGAAGCCGCCCGCTTAGCCCTGGAGGAGCAGGTTCAGGCGCTTCTGGCTGCTCAAAAGCCGAACGAGCAGCCATCAGCCGAAGAGCACGGGACGCAGGAGTTTAAGCCGCGCTGTGCTGGCGAGCTGGAGCCAAGTGCGGCGGATGCTGCCGCTGCCGTGGTGTCTGCCATGGCAGTGCTGCCGGCGGACGTAGAGGCGCGCCTGTCAGAGGCCGAGGCCGCTCGGGAGGGATTAGCGCGGGAGCTGGCGGAGGCCAAGGAGCAGCTGCGTGTGCGCAGCGAGGAGGCAGCGGCGGCAATGGCCGAGGCAATGCAAGCCACGGCGTCGGCGGAAGAGGGTCGCGCAGCACTCATGGCTGCGCAAGCTGCTAATGCAGAGGCAGAGCACCTTGTTCAAGAGCTCAGGATGAAGCTAAAGGATGCAGAGCTCGCCGTTGTCGAGGCATCCTCGCGTGCAGAGGAGTTGACATCGCAGGCAGTCAGCGGCCGGGAAGTGGCGGAGAAGGGGCTGGCGGAGGCAAATGCCCAGGTCGCGGCGCTAGAGGCGAAGGTCCGAGACCTAGAGTCTCGCTTGTCGGAATACCAGGCGGCGGCTGAGGCTGAGGCACAACAGGCGCGCAGCAAAGAGGCGGGACTGGTAGCGCAGCTTGCTGTACTGGAAGCTGACATCACAGTCCTTCACAAGCAGGTAGCGGAGGCGCAGGCGGAGGCAGAAGGCGTGCGCACGGAGCTGCAGGAGCAACGGGGGTTGGCGAAGCAGCAGCAGGTCCAGCTCAGTGCGACGGAGGCGGCCCGGATGACCGAGCTAGAGCAACGAGCTGCGGAGGCAGAGGTTCAGATGGAGCGACTTCGGCAGCAGGTCGTGACGGCAGAGGCAGCTGCCGCAGAAGCCGCTGCAGTCGCTGCATTAGCTGAGGCGGCTGCCGACACCGATGCTATCGTCATGGCTATGCAGACGGAGCTTGAACACGTGCAGCGGAGCTTGGCAGAGACGCAAAGGCAGCTGGAGGAGGCCCGGGAGGAAGCTGCACGCAGGGCCGAAGAGGCGGCGGACGCTTCGCAGCGCGCTGAGGACCTTCGTAACAAATTGAAAGCAGCGATTAAGAAGGGTAAGCGCCTAGAGGAACAGCTGCTGGAGGCGACAGCTGGCGGTGGTGCAATCGCCCTTGGGACGGGTGTTGCGGCTACCGCCACTTTAATGGCTGCAGCAGCTGCTAAGGAGGTAGTTGGTACTGTTGCGAATGCAAGCCTGGCTCTGGCGGGTACGACAGAGGTCCTGGCAAGGTCGTCAGCTGCGAGCACCGGAGGTTCATCGGAGGTGGTCGAGGCACAGGCGACCGCAGAGACCGCCCAGAAGGTAGCTGAAGATGCTGTGGCAGCCCGGGTTCAGGTGGAGGCTGAGGCCGAGGCATTACGGCAACGTGTAGGAGCTCTGGAGGTGCAGTTAGCAGCTGCGATAAAGAAGGTGGGTACATGTGGGATATTACAGCTGGATGGGGTCTGAACGCACGTTCTTCTGCAAAACCACGACATGGTAACGTCAATGTTGATGGCGGCAGACGTTTCATACAGTCTCTGTGGATGCATACTATTGCTGCGTGTGCTTTTGGACCACGCTGCATGATAACGATTCTTAACACCCAACCACCTGTTCTACCCACTCAGGCGTCCCTGTCAGCCAACCTCACGTCCTTGGTCGACGAGCTAAGCTCACGGAACGACCAGCTGGCCACTGAACTCACAGCTGCTCGTGCTGCTGCCGCGGCTGCTCCAACTAGCGACACCGACGCTGAATACATGCCAGAGCTCCGAGATCGGGTGGACGAGCTCGAGGCGGAGCTCGCGACCAATGCCGCTGCCGCGGCTGCGGCGACGCAGCGGATAGCTTCCCTCGAGAGCCAGTTGGAGGATGCCTTGGCAGCGCTCCGTGCCCTGGAGGTACAGAAGACAGGTCTGGAGGAGGTGGTGCGGGAGCTGCGCCGGGAGGTGGCGGGCAGCGCGGCGGCAGCTGAAGCAGAGGCAGCAGAGGCCGCCGAAATGCGGAACCGGTTGACTGTGCTGGAGACTAACCTGCTAATGAGGGACTCGGAGCTGACCCGCATAACGTCCCAGGTAGGAGGCGACAACAACGGTTTATGGGGGGTCATTAGATTGCCCGTTTCTCCTTTCGCGTGGGCATAGCTGCGGCGTGTGGGATTCGCTACAGCCCTCGAACCTGGGAATAACACCCGCTTGTGGGACCATGTGTGTGTTTCATTGGCCCCGCGCCCCAGGATGTCTGTTGCCTTTCTGCCCGGAACTGCTACCGTTCAGGTTAATCGGCAGTCCGGTCAGCTGGAGGAGGAGCGGGCAGCCATGAACCGGGCCACGGAGGAGGCCGAGGCGAGGGCGAGTAGCGCGGAGGCAGCTGCAGAGCTTGCGAGCGTGCAGCTGGACGCGGCAAGGGCTGAGCTGGAGGTGGTGCGCACGCACGCAGACGAGCAGCGAAGGGCGCGGGAGGCCCTGCAGGGTGCGTTCTTGCACCTGCCGGGTCTGTGGGTTTGGGGCGAGGATGTGGTTGCGTGGCATGGCGATGTATTTGCTGCTAAGCAAAAGGTGCGATTCGCACATTTGCATTAGTCTTGTGGATGGTGCCCTTTGTGATGGTAAATTCTTTGGTCCATATTTTGCAGACATCCTGCAAAATCCACAGGCATTGACATTGGCTTTTAGGTAACGGTGCCGAGCGTCAGACACCGCTGCCATGACTGACTGCCCCAACTTTACAATCTTCCCATTCGCAGCACAACTCACGTCCGCTGAGCTGCAATGCTCACAGCTACGGGAAGAGCTGGCTGCAGCGGAGCTGTGCATTGAGCAATTGCAGGGCCAGGTGGCAGCTGCGAAGGCGGAGGCGGCAAGACTACAACAACGGCTTGACGCCGCGCAGGTAGAATCCATAGTGGGCTTCGACGGCTGGGAGCCGGTGCGGGTCCTTTTCCGGAGAAAAAACAGTGAAGTAGGCAGCGTACCATGCTATCCATGACGTAGTCGGAGTAGCCGTGCCTTGCTCCAATTCGTTCTCGTACGCCAGGGTGCGGCTCGTGGGTTGGCGGCATCGCGTTAGACCAGGAAAGAGCTGTGAGCTCCTAATTCCTTTTTTCCGGACTAGAGCTGTTACTCGCGTGTCTTTTATGGTTGCGTGCAGGAGCAGATGGGCCACATGGTCGAGCTGCAGGAGGCTGCAGTCGCGGCTGATACAGCCCGGGCCACTGCGATGGCACATTCAGCTGACCTGGAGCGCCGGCTGGCGGAGGCTGAGGGCCAGGTTGATGACCTGCAAGGCGAGCTTATCGGTTGTCGTATGCGCGCTGATGCAGCAGAAGCCGCTGCTGCAGCTGCTCAAGCCGCCGCCGCCACGGCGGCGGCAGCTCACGCTGCAGCGGCGGCGGCTGCCGCCGGCGAGGACGCCCGTGTCTCGGAACTTGAAGCTGCCAACAAGGCGTTGTGTAGGGAGGTTGATGAGCTGAAGCAACGTTTCGTCACCACGGCGGCGGAAGTGGCGGCGGTGGAACCGCTACGTGCTCGAGTTGCGGAGCTTGAGGCTACAGTGGCGGCAGACAGCGCCAAGCTGGTACGCGCCCGCGAAACCTTAAGTCGCCTACAAACTGACAAGAGGGACTCGGCAGCGCGGCTAGAGGAGGCGCAGCAGCAGTTGGCGGAGCTCCGGGCGGCCAATGCGCAGCTGGAGATGGTTGTGGCTTCCTTGAGGCGACACCAAGACCTCGTACGGGATGGGCTAGCTGAGCCTGCTACAGCAAGCGCAGCCCCTGGCAGCGTTTTGGGAGTTACGGCAGAGCCCAGTGCTGAGGTCCTTGTCACTGCAGCCGCGGCAGCGGCGGCGACGGCAGAGGCGGAGGCAATGAAAGTGAAGCTAGCGGCGGCGCAAGGGGAGCTCGCGGAGTTGCAGCGAAAGCTGGTTGAAGCAGAGGCTGCACTTGCGGAGGCGCGAGGGCTGTTGTCTGAAAAAACATTGCAGCTGACTGCGAAATGTGAGGAGAAACATATGGAGGTCGAGGCTGCACGCAGGGAGGCTGCGGCTGCACAAGAGGAGGCGCGGCGAGCGTCTGCAGCAGCGGCTGCGGCGGAGCGGCGTTGTGCACAGCTTTTAGAGCAGGCTACAAACAGCGCCGCATCAGTGGTGGAGACCACCGTCAGTGGTGGCAGTGCCGCCGTTAGCAGTGGTGCCGCAGGTAGCCGGGACCGCAGTCGGCGCGGCAGCGACGGCAGCGCCAATGCCAGCGGCGGCGGCGCACCCCCTAACGTGCCGAAGCCACTGCTGCAGGGTCCTGTTAGACCCTCGCGCGACGTGGTTGAAAATTTCGCCACCGTCGGGTCCCGTGAAGTGCCGAGTCCGGCCGCGGCCGCGTCCTTGGACTCTGTACGGCGCGCTGCACGCGATGACGCTCGCTGCGTGAGTGCAATCCTGGCTAGTGCCCATGAGCGTGCCGTTGCCTTGGCAGCAAGGCTGAGCCGGTCGCAGAACATGATGGCTGAACTTGAGACGGTGAGTGGGCTTAGGGAAAGTGCCTCCCAGGGCGGGTGAAAGGAGACAAGTTTGGGGTGACTCTACTAACATGCTGTTCGGGATGGGCCTGAGTGGTGATACTGCGCTGATTGGACATATGGCCGGCTGTGCTCGCGGGGATGATGAGACCGTTCGCAGATCCAGCTTCACAGAACCTAGTTGTCCCTGGTTCTGATGCGTCGCGTGTAGCCGACAGTGCTGGTGGTCCCTGGCACTGCTGCCCACTCGCATAGGCGACTGTAGCCGCGACGTCCGGGTCAGGGGCGAAGTGCGCCGCGCAGCTGCCCGAGTTTGCCGAGGTGCTGCAGTCCGCGGTGGCGCTCGAGGGGCTGATGGTTGTGCTGGAGTCTGGAGTCAACCAGCAGCAGCAAGACCTGCACGCTAAGGTGCGTCAAGGAACCGATCCTGTGTGACCTCACTGCCATTCCACCGGTTACAATTGCCGGCCCGTGCCTTTGACTGTGTACGGTGATATACCAGTACCAATGTTTTGTCCTCTGCTTTGCCGCCCGCTATCCACCAGCAGCGTTTCCGTTGTCCGCCGCTTGGCCCCAACTCACCCCACTGCACCTGGACAGGCTGAGCAGCTTACGCAGCTATCTTACCTCCAGGCGCGCGCTGCCGCGCTTGAGCAACAAAACCAACAGCTGCAGCAGGAGCTGCGACGCTGTGAGGCGGCGGTTGGCACTAGTGGAGGTGGAGCTGACGAGAGCGGCAGCGTACAGTTGCTGCCGCGGATAGGTGGCGCGGCGGCGGGGGGTAGCAGGCCGGTAGGTGTTGCGTGCTCGACGAAGCTCGCTGTCTATCTGCATGGACTTTGACCATGGGCGCATATAGGTTTGGATCATGGCGCCGAATATCCACCGATTGCCACAAGAGCTGACCGGGGTTGCCTGTTTTCGCTTTCCCCGCTCGACACAGGCCGCCGCTGCCCGCCACCGTGCTGCTCCATTTGACATTGAGGCCGGTTGGGGCGCTGGAGGGCCTCCCGATAGTACTGTTGGCACCCCACCGGGAGGCGGCCCCGGAATGCCCATTTCTGTTGGTGCGGCTATCGGTGACTCCACGTATGACACAGATGATGAGGATCCCGCCGGCGCCGTTGCCGCGTACAGCTCCGGCAGCAGCCGGCGACTCAACTTGGACTTCCGGCCACTGCTATCCTCCCCGTTGATGCGTGGAGCGCACCCTCGTGTGCGGCAAGCGATGACGTACGTGGACCGGGCGAGCGTCTTTGCGGGGCGATGGCTCACCAGTCGCCCCACACTCCGTCTTGGTGCGCTGACGTATGTGGTGGTGCTGCATCTCATTGCACTGACACTGGTTTCCTTAGGCCGCCATTGTGGGCCGGCTGCTGGACGGCTGAGTGCCCCTTAAGATTGGGTGTGTGTGACGGCGAGAGCATGCAGGACGATAGCGCGCAGCAAGCAGTAGGAAGCGCTGCTCGAACTGATGTGCGGACCATTAGCCAGAGCCATGAGCGGTGAACACGGATCAGGTTTGCCACGAGTAGTAGTGCTTTTTGCAGGCCGCACTGTGCAGGAGTGCATCTTCCTTAAATGCATGAAGATAGGCGTTACAGCGCTCATCTAGTGGCACGATAAGTGATTTGGTCTTGCTCAATGACTCATGTACAACGACTTTTTTTGTTGTTTGCCTGGGCGTTGAAGTGTTTTATCACACCCTCGGAATTAGTGCGCAGTGGCCATGGCCTCACCAATGCCACTTTGCATGGGTATGCCTTCAAAGTCATCCTGGATAGTGAGGTTTGCTCAGGGGGACGCGCAGTTGATAGGATAGATGCTTTCGGGCGTTGTTCGGCCGAGAGGTTTCCCAAAGCTACCTTATGTGCCAATTACGTAGAGTGCCAGTTCGGGCAATTACAACTCTACTAATTTGTGTCACATTCTAACGGTGAAGCCAATACGCACGGGACACTAAACTGTTGTCCGCATAGCAGCAGACATTACCAAAATATTCGACTGTACTCCCTGACCGAGATGTTTGGCCTCATACCCCACTGGACGGATGCAATCGTGCATAACCCAACCCAGCCCGCCAAAAAGGACTCGAAATCACAAAGTACCGCAGCGAGTTCGGCAATGCGGCTGAATTCAGCTATACACATGTGCCGAGAACGTCAGCGATGTTATCCCCGTCAGCCCCTTCGCATGAGTCAATCAGGTAACATGCTTTCGAACGTTGTCCATGCCAAGTATCCACAACGCTACACCTTGCCTAACTCCACGCAAACGGTAGCTGCACAACCTTCTTAAGGGCTGTCAGCGGGGTCGTTCAATATGCCAGCGGTGTGACACTTGCTCAGTCCACGTAGTCCGTGCTGCGCAACTTGGCAGCGCGCCTCCCTGTCCCGGCGCCTCCAACCCCGCCAGTTCCCAGTGAGCCCATAGGGTCGTAATGCTGTGTGAAGTACACCAGCCCCAGCGCCACCACGAGCGTCAGCAGCAAAGCGCTCAGGCTCATGCCACCGGCCAAATGTGGAACCTGGGGATTCAGAGACAAACCAGGGAAATGGAAGCAAAAAAACAGCGTATGCGTGGTGCTGAAATATTGAAGATCTAAAAACTACACCATTTCTCGGCACCACGCTTAGACACCCCGCATGTCGGCGTATCTCGAGGCGTGCAGTTCCTCCAAAGCAACACAGTTTTATTTTTTTTTGAACAAGCCAACACTTCATTGGCGGGCGCTGGAGCTCCGCTAAGGCTCCAATAGCCTCCGACCATATAGCTAATAACTGAGCGTCCAGTAGTCAACTTATCAACTTAGGCTTTTCACTCCCAGGCCCGTGATCCCCCCCAGCCGCACCTGCACATAGCCATAAATCCCGCGGTTAGTCACAAGGATAATGTCGTTAAGGCCGTCGCCATTGAAATCCGCCACCACCAGGGGCTGTGTGGGCGGTGATGGCAGCTCCAGCTCCGCCAGTATGTGCCCATGCTCCGAAACCACCACTGTCCATGGTGCAAATAGTGGGCACCGGGGGGGTGGGGCCAGGCGCAGTTATCAGCTAGATGACGTTGCGGACCTCACGCAACCAGACGCCAGCCAGGCCAGTACACATGAACATGGCATGGTGGTAACCAGGGCGCGGCAATTGGTCCAGGTCACTGCGTCCTCGTAGATCGTTGGCAACAGGGTTTTGGCTCTATTGGAGCTCGAAATCCGCCCATGCACCCACCGAACTGCACGTTGGCACAGCAGCTGGATCAAAATCATTTCGCACATTTCCAAGCATCAACACACCTGCATGCTCTGTGCCAGCCGCGAGCACTGTCGTGGGCACCGCATGTGTGTAGAGCGCCATTGCAGCCAACGTGGGGACCACGTGCCTGGGGTTCTCATCTGCTGGAGGCCACGACACCTGCGGTTAGCGGCAACCATGAGATGACGAGAAGACCCAGTGGAGGCGGTGAAGTGGACCCTGGTATCTGTGGCACATCATCCCAAACGCCTGGTGAAACACCGGCACTACGGACAGACATCACCATCAAACAGCCGACGCACTGGTGAGCCACCGCAAAGGTGCGACAGAATGCCCGGCCATTACAACCTGAATTCCAGATAGGTGGAACCTTCCAAAGGCAATCCCCGCCATCGTGGCTTCCCACACCCGGCCCATCGTCCAGCCGAACCAACCTGCAAATACTCCTGCCACAAGTGGCTGCCTGTGCCGGTAACAGCGGTCATCTCGCCCTTGTTGGTCAGGAACACCAGCATCCCGTGCTGCCGCCTGCATGTGAAGCAAGGGGGCCATGGTCGACAGGACGGGGGAATAGCCAATACCATTGCTCAAGACGTTCAGCGACCTGCCCACTGGGGTTTACGTCTTGGGAGCCAGTACTAGACGTACTAGGCTCTAAATTGACATAATCGAGCCAGCACGTGCTTCGAGTGGTGACGGGTCTCCTTGAAACCACCTAACCCCCTCAACCACCTGCGTTTCCTGGCCATGTCAGCCCCCTGGGTGCCTCACCGCTTAGAGCTGAACCCCTTGAGGTCGGGTATGGGCAACATGATCGGGGTGGCCAGCTCGGTGGGCTGCGCCACGGCGGCAGCCCGCTGGAAGACGTTCCGCGACGCCGATACACCGAACTTGTTTGTGTGGCAAACTTGGACCTGCAGGGTCGGGGGATAAGGATGTCAAGAAGGCATCTGAATGCTTCAGTTGATTACTTAATGGCGGATGTGCGGCTGGGGCCCAGAGCAAAGGGAGCCTTTCCGCAACAGGATTGAGCGCAATGCCGCAGGCAACGGGTTGCTAAACAGCACATGGAAAAGTTGCCCACCTTGAACAGTGTCTCCGTGGGCGGGATGCCACTGCGCACGACCGCTGTACAGCGCCCAAACACGGCGTGGCCCTTGCCACTAATGGACGGCAGCTCCCCCGGCAGCAAACTGCGATACCGCCACAGGAGGGCAGGACGGCAGAGGGGCGGCAAGAGGCATGACACGGATACCAGGCAGCGCAAAGGATCACACGTGGTAAGCGTACAGGAAAACTATGGCTCGACGATCAGGCCGCGATGACTGGCAGCTGGCACGTAGCCGAGCGGTGTCGCTAGCTGGCATCATATCCATTTAGTCTGCTTTCCCTTCTTTCCGGCCTATATCACGGGGAAGAAGTTACGATTGCTGCCGTTTGGAATTGCACTTCATGTGGGATTCGATGCCCAGACAGCGCAGGAGCACCCAGTGACAGCCGCTGTTTCATATGCCCGTCCTAATACCACGGGGTTTCATACCTGGTGTCCTCGTTGCCGTCCACGCCCCCACCCACGTGGCCGTGGTACACGGAGACGTGGTCCAAAACACCGTCACCGTTGATGTCCGCATGAAGAGTGCGGGGCGGCAGGTGCAGCTTACACACGGTACGACCTGAGCACGGTTCAAACGGAGAAGAAAGGGTTCAGCGCGGCGGCAGCCAGAACGTTCTCCCCAGGAAAAATTATACTTGCAGGCCATACACTGTGCGACCGACTCGTCATTGGTGCATACTTAGCATCGCTCCTGGCACTCTATCAAGCGAGAAGGCCCGCCGCGCGCTGTCCCCGCGGCACACAAACCTTCCCTCGGCACAACCGCGGGCTGCTCCCCGAGCCGTACAACCCCCCTCACCCGAGTAAAGGTGCAACACCTCGACGCCCTCCTCCAGGAACGCCACCAACGCGTTGGCAGTGACGTTGTGCGGCAGGTGCTGCTTCATGTGCGGGTCCGGTGTCCCACCCGACGCCCCACCGGCCACCGCCGCGCCACCGTGCGCAGCGCCGCCGTGATGGGCATGGTCGTGCGCTCGCGCATCGCGCGCATGCACACCACCACGGCCGTGTTGCAGCGGCGCCAGGCCGGCCGAGTGCTTGGTCCGGCGCACAGCGCCGGGGCCCTTGTGTATGCTAGGGCTGAGCAACCCGGAGGACAGCAGTCCACTTTTAGCATGGTGCTTGCCACCATCATCCGGGGCCTTGAGCCCTAGTGACGACATGCGGAGGTCACCAAACGTGGCAGGCATGCTCTCCGGTCAGAAACCCCGGAGCATGCAAGTTTCAGATGGATGCACAACCGGTAAGCACCCTCTGGAGACCATCGCCATCACCATCACCGTCACCGTACCGCCTGCCATGCACTGCCCGAACTGTATTAACCCCCAGAATCCCGGACGCACCTCTCCCCTTGGCTGCAGCTTTTGTTCCCGCTGCAGCAAGGTCCCCCTTGGCCGCGCCGCGTCCCACCCGGTGCTTGATGAAGTGCGCCTCCATTAGCCGGGTGTCCGCGGGTCGCTCCCACACGTGGGGCAGGACATGCAACACCGACTCGCGGTAATCGCGGCAGGAAGCCTCGCCGAAGTGACGACCATCCAACTTGCTCGCGTCCAGCCTGGAAGAGGGAAGGTTCAGGCACGGGCAGCCAAGCACCGGGGAAGAGTACAGCAACGTCCTAATCCCAAGAACAGCGTCTTCGATGTGAAGTGACACTTCACAAGGCCTTCCGGGAAGCCTCGCGCTCTCTCAGCAGCACGGACACGTTCCACGTGAGAACTCTACCCCTTCCACATGATGGACCTATTCGGTTCAGGACAAGCGCCCAACCCGACAGTCCGACAAAGCCTTGCCGCCTCTGGGCCCCTTGGGCACTGCGCTTCTACTGTCCGCCCAGCCCTGCAGCACCACGTTCAGTGTCTCCGAACGTCTCCCCACCGACCGGTAGTTGTTCTGTGGCGTGAGCTCTCCACCCAGCTCAGAGAGGTCCTTGTGGAAGTCACCGCTGCCGTGATGCCACCGCAAAGTCCCATTGCCGCCCTCCAGCGCCACATAGGAGAAGTGCCGAGAGCCGGGCAGCCCCGCCAGCGGGTCATTCGGATCCAGGTCAGTCAGGGACTCGGTCACACCTGGGCAGACGCAACCCCCGGGGGGAAAGACGAACCACGTGAACGAGTGAAGCTGCTGCAAAGGAAAGAGTGTACAAGAAGTAGAACTGACCGAAAGGCGTTCTTGAAAGCGGCGACCTCGGGATGCTGTAGTGATGATGATGTCGGAAAAACTACCTACCTAGGCGCCAAGATTAAAACAAGCGCGGAGGAAAAGCAGTAGAGCCAAACCGTAAAGAAGTAAACCCGCAACCCGGGGGGGGGCTAAAGTGTCGATAGCCATGTTTATGACCTGTTGAATATTCCAACAGATTCCTCTTTCTCCCTGTGCTCACCCCGAGAACCATCCGTCCCGTTCTCCTTTGCGTTATGAGGACGGTGCAGCAACCCCGAACCAAGCCACATCATCGGATACGGCCGACCGGGGCCTCATGCCAGATTACACCAGATTACAGTCAGAACCACCGCGCCATTCCCGGCATGCTACTCCGAACAGGGGATGAACATGAAGTTCTTTTCCTGAGCCTCGGAAGCCGAACCCTTGCATGGTCGCATACCCGCGCTTTTTGCGTGCTCCTTGCGCTCCGCGTCCTCCCGCATCTCGCTGAGCAGCACATCATCGTCCTCAAAGAAGCCGGCCGGACCCCCTTCGGCCACACTCTCCAGTCCCTCCCCGCTGGCAAGGTCGCCGCGCTGGGTTGTAAGGAAAGCGGGCAGGCAGGACGAAAACCAACACGAAACCCCAGGAGAGTCAAGTTACATGCCGACCCGGCCTAAGATGCAGATCACATCCCTGGTGCAGTTGGGAGACAACAGCGGCCACCCAGGACCTCCGAGTGCTTCACGCCTGTGGCGTTGTCTGCGCGTCCAAGCAGACTGACTTTAATTCGAAGCAATTATTAAAATTTATGCACCCGCTCAAATTCGCCTTGCCTGGAGAAATAAACCGGATCTCCATCCCCTTTTGTGGACACCTAGCATGAGGCTGCCCTGCCCAACTAGTCCGATCACCACCACCTGTTACACACCAGCTAGACTAGCCCATACACCAGGACGCACGCGCGTATCGTCCCGGGACGCCCTTGCTGCTTGGCGTCCCGATAGATCTGCCCATCGGCCCGCGTCACCCAGCCTCATCCCACTCGGTCTGAGACGCATTCCCTCTGGGAACCCAGAACCCGCACCCTAAACCCACCAGAACACTGGCGCCCACAATGACTATCCCCCGGTCCGCCTCGTGCACCTGGTGAGGCGCAATGTAGACCGCGACCTGGACACCGTCGCAACCGGAGGATCGGACGACGGGGAAGTGAAATGAGCGTGAGCATGGGATTAGCACATCATAACAGGCCATGCAGCCGGTACCCGCCATAGCCGCAATCACCCACCTCCTTAATGCGGGCATGGTGCGGGAAGTGCATCTTTGCGTCGTACTCCCATTTGAGCACCAGGTTGTGGTCAAAACACATCACCTGCGGGTCATCATGGAACGGATGGTTGTAAGGGGTGACGGGGAAACGGAATTGCGCGGGTCAGCCACCATGTCGCAGTGTACCCTTGCATCGGCCTGAGGCGACCTGCGCCAGGCTCGAGATTCGCCCCCGCCCGCGTGCTCATGGAGGCCTGCACCGATGCATTCAACCTCGGGCACAAAGTCTTCGAGACTTTTGGCAGAAAGGCTCCGCGCCTGTCGACCCTCTAAGCAGCCGTCACTGCTGCAAGGCTCATGGCGACACAGCTCCTGACGAGAGCACTCACCCTCCATGACGCCGTCACTATCACTATGACCGCCTTACGCAACGGCCGCACCCGCTCGGCGGGCAAAGGGTCCAGATAGCCCACCGCCAGGGCCACCTGCGGCAATGGATATCAAGGAAACAGGAGCTCCTGTGGCCTCAAAGCAAGCCATTAAGCGCAAGAGACACACGCAGGCGAGATGGCAGGGGGCTACAGCCCCCACCTGAACGGCTTCGACTAAGGCATTAGGAGCACCGCATCCGCAATGTGAGCAGACAGACGCATATCTTATACTCCGTAACGCACTCACGGAGCTGCATGGTGCTGGACGAGTCGACCCATCTGACCGTGCGGCCATCACCGCACGGAGAAGTAGAAAGCCGTGACAGACAGGCAAGGGCGCCCTTGACGCCAAGCCCATACGCCCCGGGCGCTTCACCTCACTGCTTTGAAAGTCACCCCAAGTGCAGACCCCGCATGGCGCCTGGGCGGCCTGCACCTGGGTGGTGCTGGTTCCTGCCGCTGCGCCGCAGCCGCCAGTTGCCATTTACGCAGCTTGTGCATACGTGACCTAAATCCCTCACTAAACCCCATCACTCACCGGCCGGTGCCCAGCCGCCACTAGTGCCCGCTTAAAGAGCAGCGAGATGGCGTTCAGCTCCGCGGCTCGGGCAAAGCCCTCCCCACGGTGGCCATGAGGGGCTGGCTGGATTACCTGCATCCACGGCCCCGAGAAGGATGCTGAGCTTGCAGAAAACGAAGAGTTCGCCACGCATCTCAGTATTTTGAAGGTTGCCCCGGTGCATGAGAATTCAGGTGTACCAACGCTGTGTATGGTTGAGCGAGCACACGCGACCCCCGCCCCACACTGTTACCCACCTGCAGCTTCAGATCCGGCGTGGCAACGACCAGCTCGAGGTGCCCATCACCGTTCAGATCGGCCTAGGTAATTGACAACGGGTGGTGACGGATGTGTACCACGGTTCAAGACACTCCCTAGCCAGCCCGTTGCGACCGTACCACTACAGGTGCAGGTAGCTCATGATGCTGTGCGTAAAGCTCTACACTTTCGTCCAGTGTATGGTGGAACCTGCGGTATCGCAACTCACTGTCAAAGCCCACCGGTCTAATCCATGGTGATATTTGCCTAACAAGCGTACCATGCTTTTTCAAAAGTAAAGGTTCCTTCATTTTGAAGCGAAACTAAAAGTGCAACGCAGGCCAACAGCACGATCGCCACGTCCCGCTTGTACATTGCTGCTGTCGTTTGCAGCAACGTTACTCCGTGCAGAGATAACTTAACGATGACGAAGTCCTCGCATGTTAATCGGAAACTATCGGGTCAGCCAGACGTCAAGTTACAGCGATCACTTACAAAGGCGAACCAAGGCTTGTACTAAAGTTGCTAATATAATGACGACTAATAACTCAGAGCTGCAAATCTTCAGGTTGCTCTGCAAAATTCTTATACGGATGTTAACGTAGTAAGGCTGTGAAGGGAGACTGTCAATGCGTGCGAACGGAAGTAGAAGCACTGCGAATTGTCGGGATCCGTGATGTTTATGATTCCTTGTGGAAAAGATGCCATATCAGTTACTGGATAATGATCCTCGGCATCGGGTCCTCGTCCTAGACCGTCCCAAGGGTCAGGACCCCAGGGCAAAACTACGGGGCGCCTGCCCTGGGACGCCGCGATGTCTGAAAGACACTATAATAACTAATTAACTGGAAGAGATTCGCAGAGAAATGCAGATGTTGCTTGTACGCACCTGGTACGAGACTCATAATAAAAGCGTAACACCAGATGAAGGAACACAGACCGCTTCGCACACGTCCTCCAGAATGTCCAGAGCGCGTGCGCCACCTTTCAGGTGACCGGCAGGCCATGGTGCGCCCTTGCTATGACTCCCGACAACTTACCCACTCCGAAGCACTCCCACTCACTATTTCCATAGACCGTGAGTCCCAAACCTTTCGGGGGCAACCTGTTCCATCATCGCGTTCACCTGTGGTCCCCTGTTGCGTTTCCCCATTCCCCTCTTCCCCTACCTGATCTCATATCACAACAGGCCCCGCCGGAGGCTCTGTCTGTGGCGGCGGCCCCCAACGGGGGCTTTGTGCTGCGTGTGTCAGGCTCGAAGCAGCGTGGACTTAAAGGGAGCTTTGCATCGGGTTATGACTAGTCGTAATACTTCCACTGCGGGCCGGGCCATTGTCGCAATTTGTCAGATTACCATGTGCGTTTCGGCATTTGCCTTGGTGGGTACGGGTATTTTTTGGGGGTGGTCCCCGATTTGGGCTCCCTTTTCCCTTTCAGAACTTATCCTCTTCGCAAGGAAAATCACTAGAAGATCATGAATTTGTCGTACGACGCACAGCCTTCCTAACTGCAAGCGTAGCTTCGCAATGTAGTTTTTTCCTCGGTATTTTTGATCATGCTTGCCTCACGGAGTCGATGTTTTACAAGCAGCTGCGCGCAGCGCGCCCCGAGGCCGTCGCGAAGGGCCCTGACTTTGCATGCAAAATCTGCAGTTACATTGCAAGGTCTGCTTGATGACGCGGCTCATGCTGGGCTCGGCAAAATTCGCTTCATCGTGCTTGGCGACGGCGCAATCCTAGAAAGCGTGAACAACTTTGGAAGGTGTGGCGGAAATTCGCCGTTCCTGCATTCCAAATATGTTTTTATTATTTCTGGGTAGCACCATTGCACAGCCTTTCCTTATTGACCTAGCCTCGTGGTTGATCTAGCAAGGTGGGATAATTGCAATACTGTGCTTCCTTAAATTTTCTGTTTCGGACGTGCAATGCGCTTGAGAAGCAACTGACAGTTTGCTTAGAAACTAATTTGTGGATTGCACGTCCGAAGGCAGTGGATTTTGTGATCGGTAATGCGATTTATCCCACCTAGTAAGGAAGGTTACGTTAACGGTGGAATACCTTATCTGGCTTGATGCCTTAAAATGTTATTGGGTCTTGGCATGCTGGCAGGTGTGGCAGTGCCAAACGGAGAACGGTGATCGTTATAGTCCGTTGGTAGTTTTCTACTTCGGGTTTCAGGATTCGTCTCAGCTCTGGGCCGACAATACCGTTTTACACTGTGGATTTCTATCCTCTTGTTGAGCTACAGCTAACGGCAAGTTATTTTCCCCCTTCTCCTGTCCCGCGTGCGGCATTCTGAGCGGCCGACACTGCAGCGTGCGGTACAATGAGGTCCCAAGCCGGGGCGTGCTCGCCACCATCGCCTCTGACGATAAATCTTTCGAGTGTCACATCACGCTCTCTAAGGTGCGGCGACATCTGCCCGGAGCATGACAATTAGCTTGCGGGCCGGGATGCAGTGAGTGAAGCCCAACATTTGCGCGGTACTGTGCAGTTCGTGTGGGAGCAATCTATCCCGGGGTGCCAGAGCTAACCCTACCATCTGTCGTTCTGGTGGCAGGAAATCAAACGAACTGCATCGCGCCTGTAGCGAGCCCCGCTGCTGCCGGTTCTCTGCAGGTGAAGGAAGTCAAGTTCGCAAAGTCCAAGGCGAAATCGGGGGAGTACGACATTTATGCGACACGCTTCCTGGGTCCTGACGGGAAGGTGCTCATGTCATGCCTTCTACACGGCAACCAGGGTGTGTACGACCCTTCGGCTGTGGCGGCATGGACAAGCCTAGCGACCAAGTACGGCGAGACTGTTACATTTTGAAGCAGCGAGGAGGAAGGTTAAAAGTTGCGCCCGCGGACTATACATAGCAGTTAAGGACTTGGAGAAGACGGCTATGTTGCGTTCTGGGTTGCTGACTAGGGTGTAGTGGGCAGGTAAAAGGCGATGCAACGGATTCCACTGATGACCACGAAAGGTCTCGTGGGTCAGTGCGGACTCTTTCCTTGCAGCGGTTTCTCACCCACTCATTATTTTACTCAATTCACACACTGAACGTCTGTCTTGCGGGCTGCTAAGTATGCCACGAGTACACCGGGTTCGGCAGTGGGTTGTAAGATGGCATTGGTCTGTGGCAGGGTTAAAGTGCGGCGCAGATCTGCTGTCGCGTTCTGCCAAAAGGGACATTGGGCCATGGCAGCTTCATGGATTTAAGCCATTCAGGGCAACGGCTGCACTGGCGCACGTGGGGTCCCGAGTTGTAAATCCCAGTAGCAACCAAGCGTAGCTGCATATTTTGAATCTACTAGACGCGACACTGGAAACAAGGAGACATCGACCAGCAACACACACACGCAGGCGGGCATTGTCATGGCCACTGTCCAAGCGTTTAGAACTCCTATAGGAAAAGGCGAGCATACTTTACAGTTGCCGCTGCCCAGCGGCTTGTCGCGTCACATGACTGTAGCACCGAACAAAACACGTGCGTACGGCAGACTATTATTGTTCTGTTGTTCGGTTATTGTTCTGTTGTCCCGCACGGCCAGCATCCGAAAGTGCTAGGCGCTCAGAGCTTTCAGTCCATGTTGTGTTTCACGTGGACTTACAATGGCTGCATTAGGGTCGCGCTGGAATCGTACGTGCTTTACCTCCACACACTTCACAGCACGCAGCTGTGGTATAGCGCGCAGCCATCCGCACAGGCTCCCTGACAGCGAAAGGACACAGACACCCTACGTGCATAACAAGCACGAGACATCCAAACAACACACGCGCAGCTAGCGCGCACTGCGTCACCTGAGCACCTCTCTGAAAAAGTACACAACTAGCCAGCTTGCGTGCCTGGCCTAGACTCACATCTGACTGAGCGCCCTCCCCTTAGTTCCAGTAAGCGGAATCGGGGTCGGGACGGCCGCTGTCCAGTTTTGCGCGCTCGATAGCGATCAGGCACTGGCAACCCTGCACAAGGATAAAAGGCAGACCGCGCCAGAGAAGTGAGCAAACAGCAAAACTCTGTTCGTTGCGGTTTGCACAGGCATTCTATTCTAGTCGGCTGTATCGAGATGCATGCAGTGCAGATTTCAAACAAACCCGTGCCACCACGGAAGGTGATGGCACAATGCTGGCTACACCGCTGTCCTGGGTACACTTTCCTACCGCAGTTCCGCTACAGGGGGGCTGCAGACAGTTCGCAACCGGGTCCCAACTGACTTACCGGTGGTACGTGGTAGTCCGCCATGCATTTGTTGTCGTCGTCGAGCACTGCTCCCCCATAGATCAGGGCCTGTACGGCAGCGACACATAAAAACATGATAAAAGGTTTAAAGGAAATATGGAACGGCCCAAACCCCCAACCCCCAACAATTAAAAGTGAAAATCTACACAGGGCACTAGTCAGTATAGCTGATGTTACTGTCGCTGAAATTAAGCAACGCCGAGCTGGATACAGTGTCACGAATAATAGCATCCATTATGTCAGCAGCCTGCAGTGTGCCGCGGGGCTGTCCCGGCGCGGTCCCGGCACAGCAGCCGCCGGTTGCCCGCCTTCCGTCCCACCCTGCCCTGCACCAATGCCGTAGACCCAACCCATCCCCCGCTCAGCTCCCGTACGCATGGCGGGCACCCATGAAACCGCGCACACGTCCAAACCGTAGCCCTAGGAGTCCGCTCACCAGGTCCTCCCAGCGCTGCAGACCGGGTGTGGCTCGCTTCTCCGGCGGCTTATTGGAGCGCTGTATGCCACCCGCCCACAACGCCTGCTTCACCTTGGCCACCGTCCATTCCGGGTGGGCGGTGACGCGATAGCGGCATCCGCCGCAGAAAAACACCTAAAGGGGCCATGGCACGCGAGGTAGTTGGCCATCTGCAGCCAGCGTATGGTCTAGGGTTTGGACAGCTTCCCGCTGCAGTAACGTACCGCAATCGCAGGCACTCACGATTAGTGGCACAGCCCACCGCTGGGCCGTGCCGCACGTGCCTGAATGGGAGTTTTGGGTCTTGTGCTTTTGGCTGGCACAGCGTTTCCGCCCTCGAGGGCCTGCTGCGAAATCCTGCCGTGGCTAAGAATCGATCCTTACATGCTAGGGATAAACCTGTTGCATCTTAAATATTTGTTTTTTCGGCATATTGTAATCGTGCACGCGACTGTTCTGCACGGCTGCCGTACCATATGTGAGCGGTCCTTGCGGGGCGGCACGGTGGGGATGCCCTCGAAGGGAAGATCCATCGTGGCGATCTCCTCGAACACCTCGGCCTGCCATAATTGGGAGGTGGAATGCGGGTTGTGGAAACATGGATTCCAGGATTCCAGGTTTCCAGGTTTCGGCATGCGAATATGAAAAAAGGCCGCAGCAACCGCGTGATCGTCGGCAACTCCACGGAGCGGCGCGCACAAGGAACGGATGCAGCCCGCCAGGGCAGCAGTGAACGCACAACCCGTACGCAAGTTCATGGAATGGACCAGTTTATCTTTTGGGGTTCACAGTATAGCACGAAATGGAGAAGACGACCCAAGATAAAGAACAATCAGAACCGGTCTTGGATGCGGGGGTAATAACATTGACTGATGACACACTTGTCCCTGGGCTACCCCGCTATGGTCCATGTCCGGGCAGATCCTGGATACCGCTCGCACAACACCTTTACATGTCCTCGGACCACCCAGCGACCGCACCTCTTTGTCCGGCGGAATTTCCTTCCCAGTGTCGCAGTCCCATGCACCCTTGCCCAGAGATACGCCCTCCGCCATGATGGCCGTGAATTATATAAGTGTGTGTTGCTTACACGAGGGGCGTGCGCTTTATACCACAGCGGGTCGTTAGCAAGCTGCCCCTGGAGGCCTCAATCGGCTGCCGATCCTACCCGTAAAACGTTTCCTGGAATGCGGTACGAGAGGCTTCACTTGATGGTCCGACAGGCGCCCTACCGCGGCGGGAATGAGTAAAACCCGGCTTACGTTAGAGCGACAGCATTTGCAGCAATAAGCTTTGAAGACGCCAGTAGGGCACAGTTGCACAGTGGGGTCCTATGGGCTTACCTGAATGACCTGACGCCCTCACTGCACAGGGATGAGTTGCTTGATTAGTTTATTGGTGTACAACGCGGTTAACCCAAGTCTGGCCTTTTGGGGTAGGGCTGCACTCGACAGACCAACATTCGTTCCCTTGGACGTTCCGATGCAGCACTTCGCTACCTATGGGACGGATCCTCCAGCGCGGCTGGGACTGTCCCATACACCGGATCATGGTTCGCTGACGCTGCCGTACGAGAACGTGCGCACGCAGGAAATGATGTGGATCAGGTCGTCAGTTGCGATGAGCCTACTTGTAATTTATTGCTTAAGTTAAAAGCGCATGGGGGGTGAATGTAGTATTCTGGGCACATGGGATCTGCGTTCACCGTTCGGTACTTTTCTGCAGTCTTGATATGACACCGACACGGCCTCACCGGTGGGTGGTTATCTCTTCGGTCTGCAGTGTAAGGGCCGTTGGCAGCCAAGTCCCCGCGCTCCCCTTTGTCGCTCTCTCACAGCTCGTTTGTTCCGTTCAGCTTCGGCAGAGCCACGAGGTTACAGGTTAAGGGGGACAGGAGCACAGAATAGCTGGGTAGATATGGCAAAGAGGAGTCGCGAAGTCTGGTTCTGTGCGACAGCTGTACAACCGTGATTGAGTGGCGAGCATCTTGCGTTTCGGCTCTTTCTTTTCAGGCAGCGTCCCAGTTGGCCGGTCGCGAGCAGAGGTCGGCAAATAAGGCGGGTACTGCGGGTCTGTACCACATTACCCGCAGCCGAAATTCGGCTTAAGGCCCCGGCTGCGGGTCCCTAATGGCCAAAAATGGACCCCAAAACGTGGCTTGCAGCCCGTATATTGCGGCCCGTAGGACCGCGTGCTGGACTTAAACTCTGTGTTTGATGGAAAATTTTCAGGTTTACCCTCCCGCAGCCATAGAAACCGATTTGCCGACCTCTGGTCGCGAGTGTGCGGCCGAGTTTGCTGCTAGGTGTAACCGTAGCAGTAGCAGTTGCAGATTAGGTGGTAGTAGCAGCACTGCAGGCGGTTGGGAGTAAGAGCATTGCTGTTGTCTCTCTCCCGAACCGGCATATGGAATAAAGCGAGGTATCAAATCTTCGGGGTTGGGGTAGGGATGTAGGATGCAAGGTAGGGACGCATGGTTTTACGGTTTTGAATTTAGTTTCCTGGTTGATAAAAGTCAGTTTTTATCGAATGGGGAATATCACTGAATGGCCCAGGTAGGCCAGGTCATTATGTTTCAGCTCAATGTTGCGGCAAAAGGAGATGTTGAGGAATGCGTACGTTAATGCTGTGACTAACGAGGTGATCAAGATAGTTGTCTCTGTTTGGTTCCGTGTTGAAGGAGTGGGACACAATACGTATTCGGATAGTATTCTTCTAATACTGTCCTAAAATTTTAATTAATGGCTGCGCACTTACGGTTAAGGTTGCAGCACACTTACGTCCGGCAGACGGGTTAAATCGTCAATGGCTTCGAGACGCGAACAGTCTTTAAATTGCCTAGATTGAAGCAAACGTACATTATAGCCAGGTAGCTCGCGTGTCTAAGCCATAATCCGCAACTTTTAATCCAAGTGGAAACACCCCCTAAGCAAATCTGTTGGACTGGCCAGCTACGTGGCTCCCTGCGCGCAATTTGATTCTCTAACCATTTCGCTTGTATGAAATACTTAAAGCTCTAACCCCCTGTATTGGGAAACGGTGCCATGGAAAAGGTAAAGCTGAACATTACCCGAACCCTGAGCGCAGCTCCGAGACCATTTAATGCAAGTTGCATGCCCCTACCTTACGCGAGGAGAAGGCTCCTCAGGGTACAGCTCAGCAACATAAGAATCTTTCATATGTCCTTCGCTTTTGAAAATCCGCAGAACCTGTAGAGAATCAAGACTAGCCATCCCTGCGTTGTACAGGCCACGTTTAAAGGCCTGTACCATGGTCCCGTTGAATCTGCACGCTTATGGGTAGTACCGAGAAATTCACAGCACAAGCAGTGGTGAGCCTACGCGACCATGAGCAAAAGGTCCGACGCGTTAAAAGCTCAACAACAACGGCAATTGCAGCAGCTATGGGTACAAAGCTTGCTGTCTCAGGTGGAATCGCAGCGGGACGAGCATCATCCGCGGCACGGGCTAACGGGACGGACTGCGGATGGCGTCAACTCTGCAAACCACAGCCAGTTGCCGACCACGCCGACTCGCAAAGCTCATGTCCGGCCACCCTCCGAGCAGCGTGCCTTAATGCACATGCAGCGACACCACCCTACGGCTGTGTACTTGGCTACCTGCGGGCGTTGGGGTGCAGCGCGGCGTAAGCGGAAGCCCTTGCCTTGGGTCTTCGTGCAAAATGCGCAAATCTCTCCGCCCGAACCAGGCAGCTCTTCCGTCGTTCCCGTGGAGGACTCAAAATTCAAGGGGGGGTCGGCCTCGCAAAGCGGTGCACGCGATTTGGAGGCAGACATCCTGGAATGCAGGTCGCCATCGTTTCGCTCCCTGGATTCAGACGATGCTGATGGGGAACCGCACAGCAAGGTAAGCGGCGACAGCGCGCAAGAGGAGGAAAGCAAAGATGCGTGAACTTGTTTTCGTGTTCGTCCACATGTGTTCCATCCACAGCATGTCAACCAGGATTTCCGAGAGTCTTCCCCGTTATGCCAACCCGGCTGTTGTCGCTGATCCAGATCTTTTTCTGCAGGAGGCCGCAAATGACGTGGCTCCGGGAGAGGGGCCACCGGAGAGGTGGTTTCTGGAAGGGACAGCGGAGAAGGGGCGGCAGCTGCTGCAAGGCCCGCCGCCGGAGCAGCAGGAGCCACCGCAGCGCAAGCGGCAATGGACGCCGCCGCAGTTGGGAGTGTTGGGGCCCCAGGAGCCGCCCTCACCGCCAACCTCGGCGCCAGCAGGGATTCCAGAAACATGGCAGCAGCGGCGGCAGCTGCCCCCTACCCTACAGCCGAGCTCATGGCAGCAGCAGCAGCCGGAGCAATCTAAATGGTATCCCTTTGGCAACCTGTTGGAGCCCTCCCTGGAGTGGGGGGCAGTGGACCGGGAAGGCACCGTCACGGAGTCCGCAGCTGCGGCTGCTGCAGTGGTTTCGGAGGGAAGCGGGGGCGGCAAGGCGGTGGTGCGGGAAGCCCACCTGACTGCGATGAAGGCGAGCCGGCCGGAGGAGGACCTAGGGGAGGACCTCCCACCGCATCTCGCCGCAGCGCTAGCGGCGGTAGCAGTGACGGCGATGGAGAGTCCTCCGGTTTCGTCTGACTCGGGTAGCTCGGCATCTTTGGATCCCGTGCACACGGGTTTGTGGTATTGCTACATTGCCTTTAAGGCCAAAGAGATTCGTGAGGTGCATAAACAGTGCGTGAAGGATGGCTGGAAGGTAATCCGGCAGTGTTGGGTTGCAGATCGACTAACAAATCCGTACATGTACGGCACGTTTTCGCGACCGCGAAGCGTACAGGTAAGGCAGGCAGTGTACTTTAGGAGTGAGAGTGAGGGCGGGAGGCAGGTGCTGGACGGTTGCATGGGGCCTTTGTTCGGATCCGAAGCACCGTGAGGAAAATACATCTTGCGCAATGCAATGTTTCGGCTCTCCGTATAGGATTTGTATGTTTACGCAGCAGCGCTTGGCGTAGGAAAGGGCGAGGCATGTAAAATTGACTATGGGTGCATGCCTGCCTTATCCTTTTGCCCTCCCTCCTGCCTTCCCTCCGCGCGGTGGGAATTGTCCGGGGGGTTCTGCCGCTGCACCTGCGCCGCTAGGCAGTAGACGGCAGGCGGAGCGAAGAGCTGCGAGCCAGTGCTCTAAATGAGGCGCGTCAGGTGGACCAACGACTGCAGCAGCTGCTGCACAGCCAGCCGGTATTACAGCAGCTGCTACAGCAACATCATCAACAACAACAACCCCACCATCAACAACAACAACAACAACAAGTCGACCAGCTGGTTCGTTCCAGCTGTCCTCAGTTGGCGGAGGAGGAGCGGACGGAGGCGACGCGCCGTGCCCTCCAGCTCCTAAGTCCCGGCCTCCTGCAGCGGGATCCAGAGTGGGAAAACATGGCAAGGCTTGCAGATTCCGAGACGCAAACGCATTTCTATGAGCGGTTCAGGTCGTTCCTACGTAACTCCGGCTTGGATAAGCTTCCTTGCCGTTTTGGAAAGGTGAGGCAGTCAATGGTGCGCGCATCCGTCCATCAAGCCACCCACATCCATCTACCCACGCAACCCGGCGGCTCCAGCCGTACTAGCTGCAGAGCCTAGACAGCGTGGAGAACGGGATTTACACATGCATTTAGAATTGCACGACACATCCTCACGGCCGGTTTCCTTGCGATAAAAGGCTAGGCACTGCCAGAGTGCTAGACCGCCGTACGTTCCCCATCGTCCCAGAAGGGACCTCGTTTTGCTTCGCTGCCTCCTTCCTTGTTTAAGTTTTTCAGCTTGGCTAGACTGGAGCCTCGCAAATGACCCAATGTATGGACCAAATATCGCGCGTGTCGTTGTAGCGCCTGAGGGATTTTGAAGTATGAAAATATCAATAAAAACACCGTATGGACCGCGCCCTCAGCGCTACCGTCCCTCACACCCGCATCTCCTCACTCCTACCACGGCTGTGCTACCAGGTTTTTAAGGCGGCAGCTGTGGGGCTACTGCTCCTGGAAGCTTCCTCCCATGCGGGGCCCAGCTGCGACCCACGGGTCTACGAGTGCGCCGCATTGGGCCTGGTGCACATGGAGGCGTCACGGCGCGTAGCTGGACAGGTGCGCGGTAGTAGGGAGGTTAGGTGTGCGGTACGGGGGTAAGTTTGCGGTACGGGGGTTTAGTGTGCGGTGTCGGGGATTAAGTTTGCGGTACGGGGCTAAGTTTGTGGCAAGGAGTTACGCACCGTGCAAAATGAGGGGAAAAGGGTCCGGGGGTTCCAAAGGTGCGCGGCCAGTGGAGGAGGGAAAATGTTAGGTAAGGGGTGTGGTCAAGGTGAAGGTGCGGTGTGCCGCTTATGCCCCATTCGCGAACAACTGACTGAACCTCACTCTGCTCGGGCTTCACACGAACGTGAAGGGCCTGGGCCGCAGTGGTAGTGGCCACCGGCTCCACTTTCCAAGCATCATTGCCAGACCTGCCGATGCTGCTTCCTCTCCATATCTCCGCCTAGGAGAGAGCTCTTCCGCGTTCTCCACCGATGCCGGGGCGGGAACATGTGCGCGGCGTGCAGAGCACCCGAGAGAGGCTTTGAAGCCATGAGACACTCATTCGTGGTGCAGCCGCCCACCATTCATGCTGTGCATTTATGCTTCGTCCCACGCAGCACTGGCCCCGCTTCGCCGCAACACGTGCTGTTACACAACACCCGTACAATGCCTGCCTAGCCTAGCGTTTGTTTCTTTCTCTGTCCCATGTGTCCCAAATCGAATTTCCACAACCTTCTGTCCGCGTGCGGCCCCCTCATCCATCTGGCTGGTGCGCACGGCCGGGGTTCATCCTGCATGTCCGTACAGCCCGAGTACGACCGCTGGCACTGGAGCATCTCGCCTCGACGGCTGTACCACATAATCCTTTACGACACCTTCCTCGTCTCTAACCCCGAGGCACTGCTACTGCTTGGCGTCAGCGACGGCGGTGCCAATCGCAACACCAAGGCCCGACTGGCCTCGTTCTGCAAGCGTTTGGAGCGCTTTTCCCCGGAGTACTTTACCCACTTGGTAGATATGCTGGGGGACCGCCGTGGCTGCGACTGGCTGATGGTGCAGCTGTGCTGCAGCGAGATGATGCGGGACTGGGTCTTGTTGGCGCCATCGCTCCAGAGGCAGCTGCATGACCTCCGGTTGCTGCTGCTAGAGGCCACTGGCTGCCTTAGAAAGCCCGCGCCGTCTCCGGTGCCGCTGCCGCCATCGCAACCGCTACCGCCACCACCGCCGCAGCAACCGCCGCCGCAGGAGCAGCAGCAACAGGTGGAGGAGGGGGAGGAGGGGAGCTGGCTCCAGGCCCCGGTCCATGAGCAGGACCAAGCGCTACCGCTGCTGCTACTCAGTCCATCAGGTCATCAAGGGTCGCCAGAGCTGAAGCAGCAGCAGCAGCAACAGCCGCTGGAAGGCCCGGAGGGGCCCCAGCTGCTGATGGCAGACCAGGTGCAGCCAGATCGCCAGCCGCCCGAACAGCCACTGCAGGAGGAAGAGAAACCGCTCCAAGGGAAGAACCACCACCACCACCATCACCACCACCAACAACAGGACCCGGTGCAGGAGCACCTCCAGCAGCATTCACAGTCAGAACACTTAGCACAAGCATTACAGTCAGCACAAGCGGTACATGTAGTACAGTATACAGCAATACACCAAACAAAACAAAAAGCACAGTCTGAAGGGATGGCAGAGGGCGTCACATTGCAGAAGCCGCTGCATTCGCCACCGCCGCAGGTTCTACAGCCCCAGCCGCAGGTCCCAGCAGAACCACAGCAGCCGGTAGCGCGGTCCGAGCCAAAGTCACAGCCAGAACTAGTGCCGCAACCACCGGCGCGGCCACAGCTGCAGCAGCAACAGCCGCAAACACACGTGCACCAGCAGCATGAGCTACGGGAGTTGCAACTCCCAGATCGAGGCCCACGACCAAAGGCGGAGCCACTTCAGTTAGGAAACCACTCCCCATCGGTGTCAGCGGCCCCGCAGGAGTGTTCGCCGCCAGGACCCATGGGTCCACGGCCGCACCTCACTCAACCACCACTGGAACCGCAACCGCTACCAGAACATCCTTCAGATTTCAACGTCGTAGAGTCAGTACAGCCGCCATTGCCATTGCCTCATTTGCAGCCAGGGGCCCAACAGCAAGCTTCGCGTTCGCAAGTGCTGCAGTATCAGTCACAAGAGCACCAGGCGCCGCAGGTACCTGCGTCGCAGCAGGATCTAGACCATCAGGAGAAAAGGTCTCCGCGGCAGCCGCCCATGCTCGCGGTGACCGCTCCGCAGCCGACACTGCAGCTGGCAGCACTGTCGCTGCAGCCACGAACGCCACAAGGCGAGTCCCGCAAGGCGCCATCGCGGTCAGACCCGCAACCACGACTTCCTGCTCCGCAGCTGGAGCCGCAGCCGCGTCAGGAACCTCAGGCACTGGAAAAAACACAGCAACGACATGAGCCGCAGGTCCAGCGGCAACGACCACAAGGGCAGCAACAGCAACAGCTGCAGGCGCGTTCTGAACGGCAGCAGCTGCAGGAGGTCCCTGAACCAGCGCCAGCACTTCCACAGCAGCAACAAGGGCCTCGAGCCCTTCACAGTATCCATGAAGAGTCACAATTGCAGGATCGCGGGGCCGCGTCAGCACCGACGTCAGCTCTGCTAACCCCAGCCGACACCAGCGCTGTGGCCGCGGCCGAGAAGGGCATCGGGGACATGAAGAGCGAGGTCAAGGCCGCGACCGGAGACGAAAGCGGTGCCCAGGGGAATGAGGCAGAGGTTGACAAAGGGATTTCCTTCGCCCGGGAGCTATACACCTGCCTCTTGCGGAAGGCCCGTTTCCTGACACCCGATGCCGGCCCTGGCAAAGAGCGGTTATGTTCCGTCATGGCCGTACTGCGCCTAGCCGCCCAGTACGGCCTGCTAGATCACCAGCACGGGCCCGACCCGGCGGCGCGCTTGGTGGAGGTGCTGCGGGAGGTGGCGGCGCACGACGTGCGGCCGCGGGGCAGTCCCCAGTGGGCGGCGGTGAAGCAGGCGTGGCAGGCGGCGGCGCTCATGAGTGCTGATTTCTTATCAAGCCGTGCCCGACCTGTGCCGTACATGCAGCTACGAGGGCTCTTACGGGGCTTCGTGGATGATACGTTGCATCAGTCTCGGTGGGCTGACCTGGCAGAGGAGCTTCGGCCGGGGCTGCTGCAGGCACACTCGAGCTCCTGGGGCAGGTTATTGTTGTCACGGAGCAGACAGCCGCAGCAGCCGCAGGCAGCGAAACCGCCTACGCTGATGGGATGGTTGTGGCGCGGCGATTCCGCCACGGCAACAAGCAAAATGGCCGCGGGGGCGGCGGCAGCGACAGTAGTGGCAGCAGCGGCGACAGCGGCAGAGCGGGAGGAAGGGGCTGGCGGAGGGATGGAGTTGCAGTCAAAGGAGCGACACCTGGTGCGGCGTGGTGTTGTCGGATGGGGTCGGTGTCGCGCACGTGTGATGAGGGTGACAGGGTGCCGGGAAGGCGTGGATGGCTCTGTACTGGACGTCTTTCCTTCTGCTGCGGCAGGCAAGCGTGCCGGTAGTACCTGCAGCGGTATCTGCGGGTCGGATGCTCTTCCCCCCCCGCAAGCGTCCCCCCGTCCTAAGCCTTGCCTCAGAACCACACCCTGCTCCGCCCTTGGCTCGACCCACTTCTTTCGCCGCATATATAAATTGTATCCCGTATGCCCTCCGCCGCGGTTGGATTGCCGTCAACATCGTCATCGCGCCTTTGCCGCCGCCTATTTGGTCCGCAGCTGACTTCCTACGCGCTGTGGGGACTTGTGGTTCTTCGCGGCATTGAGGTGCCGTTGGAGTACCTGACCCTTGCGAGCTGCTTAGCGACTGGGGTCCTGAGAAAAGAAGTGATGCTCAAGGTGGGAACGGGGACTCCGACCCATTGGGCGAATTTTGCGATCCAACAGCGGCCATCTAAGCGCTGTGTGTGGGGGGAGAGGGGGGAAGCGCTTCTCTCTCTGGCTGTCCAGCCAGAACGGTGCCGGAGATTTCATCTCAGCCCACGACAAGTAATATCCTCGCAGCCAGTCAAAGCTCCCCAAGTCCTCGCAGCTTGTCAAATTGAAGTAGGGGAGGGACCCATGGGTCAGGATGAGACACAAACCCATGCAACGCCCAATGAAACGCACCCGTACGAAGTCCACTCCACCGGCAACTGGCACAGTGTTTGCGGCACAGATGGGGGACCAGGCACCCAAATCTCAAATCCCAATCTGTTTCACAACTCTGACATTCCATCCCCACCTCACCCCACGGCGGCCCTACAGACCGGGCTCGAGCTTGACGAGGCGGAATGCGTCGCAGCCAATCTGTTCCGGGGCCTCGCCTTCCTGCCGCCGGTGCCGTACCTGCCTCGAGACGAGCCCTGGGCACGTGCCACACTGCAGCCGGTCCCGCCGCCGCTGCCGTCAAACCTGCCGCTTCATCACCCTGTACGGCAGAAGCGGATGCTGGAGGAGTTAGAGTACGGCACTAGGTGAGTGGGTTTGCGTTGGACGAGAAAAGTCTATTTGCTGGTACCTGCCCGCGCAACGCCTTAACCGCCCCTTGCCACCCATCCCAACCACCACCGCAACCACCACCGCGCAGGTTGTTTTTAGCGGAGCCCGAAATTTCTGCGCTGCTGGCGGAGCGAGTGATGCCGCCTCAATTGTCCCTGCCGCAAGTGCCCCCTCTGGAGTTACTGCTGGCGCTGCTGCTGGAGCAATGGGAGGACCGGGAACTGGTGGCGGAGCGGTGCATGTGCGAGAGCGACAGCGACGACGAGGTGGAGGTGTTGGAGATGGAAGTTGACGCGAAGGGAGGGACGGAAGTGGCGGGAGCTTGAGTGGAGGGGTAACAGCAGGGTGCCGCTGCCAGCGAGTGGCCACTTACCGGCACTCATGGATTATGATCGCGGTGAACGTCATGGGACTTCGGATTTCTCGGCCGTGAAACGCTGCCACTACATCTTCACCAATCACCCCGTTACTGGGCTCGGCTCCATATTCACACATGGTGGGAAGCTGTCTTCGTTGCCCCCCCAGTACAGCTGTCGGCCAAAGGTAATAAAAGGTAGTTTAAATCGCGGCAAAGGCCCGCACAGATGTTTGGAGGTTCGCCAGCCAAGAGCCTTGCGTGATGTTTGCAACCGCTGGGGCCACCCCGCACCGCACCGTGAGGGGCGATCGGCGGGAAGGGGCAGCACAGAGTGACGATCGCGACGGCAACGGCGGCGACGACAGTCGACACGACTATCCTCTGCTTGTTTTTGGCAAGTCGGCAGCAGTTTAGGGCAATGCAGTGAGCTGCGCCCCGCTTACCAGCCGATAACAGTGTGTTTGCCTCGGGATGTATGTCCTTTATTAATGCTGCTGTGCAAGGCCGTTTTTTGGGGTGTGGGTTGTGGAGCTCTGTACATCACGTGCAGAGCCTTGTGTCAACGTCTCGGCGTTGTGAAGGGGGACTTTGAACCGGATGTGTTTGGATGAGGGGACGTGAGGAGGACAAGGGAGTCTGTGTCTGTCTGCTTGTGGGGAGGGCTCAAGAGGGCATGAATGCAATCGTAATTGACTGAAAAAACCTCCATTGCGAAAAGGAGGACTAGCTGAGCGGCAGGTGTCCGGTGCCTGTCCCGGGTAGGGATTTAGGGGGACTCGAGGGTTGTTGACGGCGGCGCTTTGGCATGGCAAAGGGGTCGGCCGCTTCCCGAAGAGGTTGGAAAGGGGGTAGTGCCCTGCAGCCACTTCAAGCCCGCGTTTAGCTAGGCCTGCAGGGCAAGTTGAAGTCTAGTCTACCCGCCCAGGGAGGTAGGGATTAGGGTAGGGTAGGGATTGGACGCTGCCGGGGATGGCGCTGTAAAGGCTAAGAGCAAGGGCTGTGCTGCGTCCTATTTAAGGATTTTGCACAAGAAGATATCCCAGGCCAGGCTCCCGTGTGAACACATCACTCCCCTTTGGCGTGCGTGCTTATCGCTGCGTTGCAAGATGTGGGTGTCGCTGAAATGAATGGGCGCGGATTGACATGTGCACGGGGAAACGCGAGCACACCGGCATAATCTCAAGCATCCTCATCGGTGCGATGCATTTGCAAAAGCAGATTTGACATGTGAAGCTTTATGGACAATGGCTCCGCGAAAGTGGTCTCCGTGTGTTCAACTGCGCAGTGTAACTCATCCTAGATGGTTTTGACGTCATGGGCAGACATGGCAGAAGAAAGTGAGGACCAAATAGTTGAACATTTTTGCCGCATCCCAGTCATCGTTGCTAACAAATCAACATTCTACGGCACATCTAAGCTACGGAGTTGGCGGAATAGGCATCCCAGCCATGGCGATAACCGACAGCTCACAATCAGCGTGTGCCTTGAGAAATTGAGCGTAAATCGGGCAGCAGTCCTTGCTGGCGTAGGATAAGTACCCTCCTAACAAAAGATAAGTATTAACCATTTAAAACGTCTATTTGTCCGTCGAGGATACAAACAGGTACACGGACACAGAGCGACCCGCAAAGGTTACAAGCGGCAGTTGCAGATCGTTATGCAGTAATTCGCAAGACGCACAATCGGCAGGGCATTACGACTTGCCAGGGCCTTATTCCAGGCGATTGCCGGCAATGGTGCGGATGGGCTGGTGGGGATGTTAAGCAGGGGTAATAAAGTTGCATGAGGCCAGGCTAAAAGGGCAGGCGGAGGTCAAGAGCTCGAATGAGGGAGGATGCTATGTGGGGTGTGGGACCATAGCCGTGGAGGGGGAAACGGACATGGTCGTGGGATAAAACGGAAGGGAGACGGCGAGAGAGTACGTGGGCCGTAAAACCATGTGCTCAAGGCGGCGTGTCTGGCGACAGTTCTTCACCAAACAGTGGTATCGTAGTGCGTTACTGTAGTTTGACTGCTTGCGCCGCCGCTGCTGCTGAGCGTTGAAAGCGCTTTGCGGCCTCAGAGGGAGCGCAAGAGGCCCCATTTGGCCTAGACGCGAAGAGCCCTATTAAGATGGATTAGCCTGGGGTTGCGGGCTCAAGGGCACCGTGCTGTGCCGTGCGGTTGTATGGAGGGGACCTGAAAGGGGATCATGCGAGGAGACGTCGGGCCTGGCTTTTGGGCGCTTTTGTCTGCATACCTAGATCCCGAGCATGCCGGTCATCCTTTACTCGTCAACATGGCAGGGTAAACTGTGGTTGGCGTATCAGATATGCCTAATAGGCCCAGCATAGGTGTGTCCTATGGGACGTCAGACATCGGCAAACGCTTCGGGAGTTTCGGGTCGTACCGAAGCTCCTGAAAACAGAAATAGAGTTCCCGAAGCTGGCCGGCTTGCAGAAATAGGATCATACGCCGTATTCGAAATGTGTAAGGGCCGCCCGACGACCTAAGTCCGCGGTCAATGATGACAGAAATAGACCCGTTCCCGAAACCAGAAATACCCCGTTTGCCGATGTCTGTGGGACGTGCCATTTGTATAACCTGGGTTGGAAGCAGCCCATGCCAAGCAAGTGTTAGGTGGGTGTCCAGATAATTATCCGGTTAGCTTTTGCTAGCAGGATCCAGGCAAGAGTCAGCATGCTTGAGACAACCGAATTCGGATCGTGCATGGATTCCATGATGTGCATGGAATGCTCGAACGCATGTTACTCAACTAAGTTTAATAATTGTAGAAGTCTTTTTTAAGCTCCTTCATTAGAAGTTAGCGTGGGCATCTTAGTATTGCAATTTGAGCTGCAGGCTGGGTATACCCGTCCCGAGAGCGTTGGGGATAAAGATTATTGGTCATCAACTCGAATGACTGTTTTCGTGTTTATGATGAATGCTCACTTTTCTAGGGGTGCTATGTACGTCGTCCTTGACAGCAAAACATAAATGAGCAGAATTTGGCGGGCGCTTGAGGATCAACACGAGCAAACCCGTCGTCGCATAGTTATTAGCGCTCTTCTCGCCACGCAACAGGACTTGTCAGAACGGGCAGATCGATCGGCATTTGACACGGACCTTGGTCGCGGATCCTCCACCCAAGCGAACGGCTCAAAGTCTCAAGCTGCCCTACGCGTCGTTGAGAACTACAGGCGCCGATATCAGACAGCGGTGTATTTGACTGGTCGTCGGGGCCGGGTACCTGTTCACCGTTTGCAAAAACACCTCCCATGCGGCATTGCTTCGTCGCGAGACCGCGTCAAGAGCAACGACGACTCAAAAAATGACACCGAGGTCAGTAAGTACAACCGTCAGTTCAATAACGCACACGCTTGAATTTTCATACACGTACATCGTGCGGGGGAGTCACACACGTACAGCCCCAAGCTCTCTACATTGTAAAGTCCTGATACACCCGGAAGTATAATGTGCATTGTGCGGGGAAAGGAAAAACCGCATCTATCGAGGTCATACTCCCTTATTATAACATGACCCAGGACAATTTTCCCCGATACACCTTCGTTGCGGACCCATCCAACCCCTCCAGGTTGCGGCGGTGCAGTCCTCGCGGGCCATGTCCGCCGCAGCCGCCGCCCTGACCTGTGTAGATGATTTCCCCTTTTTGGAGCCCTCCACGCCTTATTGTCCGTCGGCATCCGATTTGGGTGCCCCTTTCAAAGCATACGGATCGGCGTGTGCTTTTGACTATGCCGTGTCCGCCGCAAGGGAGCTAGGCCTACTCAATGAGGACATAGAAGCCAGGCTCAGCTGCAACAACCCCAGCAACAGCGTCCGCCTCGGCCTTCGTGCCCTGCACTATGCGACAAGGGATTTCCCAGCCGATCAGCCCACAAAAGAGCGCGAAATGGCATTCATGGTTTTCAACAGTCCCGATGCCATCGACTTTCTGCGACACCGTGCGCTGGCGGATAACGCAGCTGGCACCTGCGGCAGAAAGGTCTATGACCCATGGGTCAGTGGCATTGACGAAAAGTCAGCCGACGTCGAGTGCGGTGTCTCGCTATTTCGTCGCGGTATGGCGTTACGGGATGCCTACACCAAGGCCGCAGTGGCTGCATGGAGCCGACTCGATGAGAGCTTCCGGGAGCATCTCAAACTGCGGCGGTTTGTGTTTTGCGAGGCTTGCGGTCCGCCGCAACCTTCAAAGCTGATCGAGGCGTTGCGGTATTTGCGCCCGAGCCTGCTCACCAGAGACCCAGGGAAATGGGATGTTATGGTGGAGGGCGTGTCACGCGGCGACTCAGCGTGCGCCCTGGTACGTCCGTTAGTAAGTGAGCTTAAACAGGCACAGCGGGTGAGCGGCACAGCGCCTCGTCTGACCCCTGGACATTTTTTCACGGTTCGACATGCATACAGAAAGACTACCCGAGTCCTCACCTGCCGACCGTGCCGACACGCCTGGCCTTAGGCCTCGTAATCACAAAATAGAATCAGCCAGGCCGTCGATTTGTTCGCCAACGAGCAGTTCGTTTCTAGCTTCCGATGTTCGTGGTGCTTATTTGTGGATGACTTACCCCGCGTGTAAAGTGAAATGTGAGCTGCTTACCTTGTGTATGGAACGCGCCGCTTGGCTTGGCATGTTGCCCTATTGCTGTTGGGCCCTTCTCTCTCCTCGCCAGGCGTGTGCGTTTGCTTCGAATTCCCACGCGAGTCTTCCCGAAGTCATCTATTCGTTCTAGACATATTTTATAAAACCCACTTCTCCTGACTGTCTTTCCCACATCCCTTTACCTGCGTGGAAATCGTCGGTGGGTACCGCACCGTATCATACATCGTATTGAAATATTTTGGCGTGGTGTCCCCAACATTTTTGCGTGATGCCCCCAATCCGTGTTCCCAATCTTGTTCTCGCAGGTGTTGGAGCTGGCGGTCAAGGGAGTTCTGCTGTTGCACGACAGCGGGGTGCAGGACGAGCATCTGGAGCCGCTATCCTGTGCCGTACTGGCCCTCCTCGTGCTGATGCTCCACACGGAGCCCGAGCAGCTCTTGGAACATGGGGGCTCCATGGGGAGCAGCAGCTGGGGAAGAACAGCAGGCAAGGTTAGTTTCCACCTTTTAAGCTTGCATTTTGTTTTTGTGTATGTGTGTTACACTTGAGTTACCCTCAAACGGTGTAGTTACCCTCAAACGGTGTAACGGGCCCATACAGTCCTACACAGTCCAAACGTACATGCTTTTCGTCTTCCACGGCGTGAAGCGTGCAAGATATTCGCGCGATACCCCCGCATGAATGGGCTCTATTTGCCTCAAGTGGCCAGCAATACAAGTCGAAACGCCTGGCAACCGATTCGCATATCAACAGGACTAAACATATCGGCATGCAGCAACCAAGCCGCTTTCGCAAACCAGTGCTTCTATGCATCCATCTCAAATCCCAAAAGGTTGTTACCCGTCCTAGAGGAGAACATGGGGGACTGCAGCCGGCCTCTCCTGGTTACATGACGAGATAGTATAAATATTTCCGTCTTGTAAATTCCCCGTACGTTTGTGTGGGGCAACGGTGAAAAGAGAGCGGTGAAGAGAGGGGGAGAGGAGACGGAAGAGAAAGAGAGCCATACAGGGCTCTGCGCGAAAACCGAAATTGCTATAAAAGTGTGTGAGGGGATTGTGAGGAGATTTTTCCGTCTGGCTTTTACCCCCCTGAGTGGCCAATGTCGCCCTCCCTGGCATGTGTGCATCTCTAAACAGGTTCCTAATGAGCTTGAGTTGGCTGTTGCAGCACTTCATAATTCCGTACGTGATGCAGCCCTCGCCAATAAGCCGTACCGGCACATCTCCCCAGCCCAGTTGTACGACGTGGTCTGTACCACCCCCTTCACCGACCTCGGCGCCGATGCCAGGGACAGCAGGTCCGCGGACCCCCAGGGCGGCAGAGGCGACGATGACAGTTACCGTACTGAAGTACAGCCGTACTCTCAGCAGCACATAAGGGCGATGCTCTTCGCGTTGGCCCCGGATCGATTTGTGAAGTCGTTGGCGGATGCGGTGATGATAAGGGCTTTCGCCGCCGCGGGCCCGCAATGGAACCAATCCAGGGAGGTGGTCGAGGCGATGCATGACGCGCTGGCGGCGCGGGAACTTGTTGCCGTACGCCGTGATGGCAGCTATACCTACGGACTCGGCAGCATCAGCGGTATCAGCGGCGGCAACGACGAGGCAGAGGAACTTCAAAATTTTGGAAGCACCCTGGGCTTCGAGCGCCGCACTGCCGCAGCCGCTGGCATCGGCGGCAGCAGTTTCCCCTCCAGGAGCAGTGCTGCTGTGGCGGCGCAGGGCCCAGCGTTCAGGGTCCCGACGGCGGCGGCAGCAACGGATGGGAGCCTTCCCGTCCAACAAGATGCAAGAGGCATATACGACATGCTGTACTTGGCGAGCTTGTACGGTGCCAAGATGTCGGCGGAGGCGGTCGTCGCAGCTGAGGCTGGCAGGGGTGAAGCCGACCGACATCAGCGGCAACATCAAAGGGAGCCAAGCTCGGTCACTAATGCGTCCGGTGTGGCCATTGCCTCGGTGCTGCCGGTCGTGGCAAGAGCACTGTCACGGCTCCGACGGCTGGGGCTGCTGACGGACGAGGCGCCGGTGGGGGACGGCCCCGAAGCGGGCATAACGCTTCGTCGCCTACTGCGGTGTGGCGTGGAGGTAGCGGCGGCGGCTGCCCGTCAGTGCGAGGCGGCTGGCGGAGGCGGTGGGGTGCTGTTGGCGGAGGGGCCTCGGAGGCTCCACCGCCAGCGGCTGGTGGGGCTGGTGGATGAAGCATCGCTAAGTGCTGGAGCCTTGGTGCAGGATATCGAGCGAAGCTATGAGGGCAGGCGCGGGGAGGTGGGATGTCGGGTGGCGAGCATCGGCGGTGGCAAAGGGGGCGGCGGCAGCGGCAATCATGGTAGCAGTAATCTTCGGGCTTTGGTGGAGGGGCTTCGTCCGGGTTTGCTGGCGGCGCACCCGGCTACTTGGGGCGAGTTGCTGCGAAGGGCAGAGGTGGAGGGAGAGGCGGCGGAGGCGGACGCGGAGGATGAGGCATGGAGCCAGGACAAGATTGTTGAACCCTCGGTACGTATAGCAGCTAAAGTTATGGCGGCTTGGGTGTACGAGGCGCAGGAGCCACTCGGACATTGCTGTTACGCGGCTTTTGGACGCCCGTCCTATTCTTTTGGACGCCCGCCCTGCATAACTTGAGCTTCTCCCTTCTTAGTAGCGTACATAACTTGGCTGTCTCACCTCTTTATGATGCCGTGCGCATGCCGCCCTGCCCTGTAGGTTGTACATACGGGGATATTCGGGTTGATAGCCCTGGATGGACAGGAGCTGCCGCTTCAGTTGCTCGGCGTGTCGTACTGTGTGGTCGTGGGCGCGGTCTTCTATCACGACATGGTGAGCTCCTGGCGCGGACCATTACCCCGCGGGTGTGCAGCGTTTTATTGCGGTACAGTTACCACTGCTGTTGTACAACCACCTGACACCCGCGTCCTCGCCAGTTCCTGCCCGCAGAGCTCTGATCGTTAAAACATCCACATCTTACATACCTTGATGTTCCCTGCGCATCATCACATTCGGTTTCCCCCTGCTTCTTTCTTCCATACCTGGCGGATTGGCGGACCCTAAGTTGCCAGCTCTCATACGGCATCAGCCAGAGCGTGTGTTGAAAATGTGAGGCGTTATCGCGCTCGTTGTGCCCTATGTCGGGTGTGTTAGGATCTGATGCTGCTTCTCCTCCGTTCGGACCGACGGTGCGTTCCGTGCGGTTCCCATAAACGGTTGTTCTTGGGTTTCTGCACCTGTCTCTGCAACCCCCCTTTCTCCTCGCCTCATTCCAACTTCTTACCCCTGTGGCTTGTCTATCCCCCTGTGGCGCCGCCGCCGAAGCAGGAGCGTTGCGGCAGCGGCGGCCTGGAAGCAGCGGAGAGCCGCTTACCGGAGCATTGCCGCCAGGCAAACCTGCTCTTCCGCTGGATGCATTTCGTGCCCTCCGTACTGGACACCAAGCCGGAGCCAGGCTGGACCAGCGGCGACCTGCCCGTCGTGGCGGCGGCGACGACGACGACGCCTCCTTCGTACCTGTCCCACGTCCGCTCCAACGACGAATTACAAGTAGCCTTACAGAAGCGGCTGCTGTCATCCGTGGCGAGTTTTACCATACTGCCGTACAATATCATGGTCCTCATGGTGGCTTACATGACGGAGTGGGGCCTGGAGCACTGGCGGCGGCGGCAGCAGCCCATCTGGCGACCGGCGGGGGGAATGGCGGCTCTGTGGCCTCGGCGATTGACGGCGGCTGCGGCTGGATCTAAGGAGCGACTGACGGCGGCGGTGGAAGAAGAGGAACAGGAAAAGGGTCGATTCGAACTGTACGGGCCCTCCTTTGGAGTGGTGTGCTGGGGGATGGGAGAGCTGGCGGTGGGTGGGAGGGCGCGGCGATGGCGTGAAGGCAGCGCGTTGTCGCCATGGGGAAGTAGCGACGAGGAAATTGACTTCGCCGCTGGCGGTAGTGATGAGCGTCTTTTTGATGTCGCTGGCTTCGGCGACTTTGATGATGGGTTCGATGACCGGTTTGGGCGCTCGGGCGGCGGCGGCGGCGGCGGTAGCGACATCGAGCTGGAGTTCGTGGAGCTTCTGGATTCTCCGGCGGAGGGGGTGATAGCGGGCGCGCCCACGGTCCTTTGGAAGGATGCTAATGGGGAGGGGCTCGCGTGGGCGAGCGGGGCACGGCAACAGCAGCAGCGCTGCCTTGAAGAGCCTGCTGGCGCCGCCTCCAACGGCACTGGGGTCCGAAGCAATCTCATGTTCGTCGCCGAGGGGGGCGTCCAGGTCACGACAAGGTTGCTGTCCGGGAACGAGGTGATAGCGAGGGAGGTGGTGCCGTTGGGCGACAGACCTTATGCTGCCGGCGATGCCGGCAGCGGCACGAGCGCTGCCGCTGCCTCCGGGAGTGGCAACGGCATCTGGCGGTCCGGCAGCAGCAGCGGTCCCTTGGGGCGCCCTCGGGGCGGCGTCGAAAGCGATGGTGGCCGGAGGACGGGTTGGCTGGGGTCCGCGGCGGCGACGGCGGCTTCGTGGCCGGAACCCGCCTCCGCCACGGCTGCGATCGCGACTGTGTCACAGCCCGGGTTGCTTTTCACCGGTTGCAGCTTGGTTGAAGCGCTGCCGGCTGTATTCCTGTGCGACAGCATCGCCCACGGCCGCAGCAGCGGCGGCGATGTGGCGGTGGAGGGCGTGGAAGCTGCGGCGCTGCTATTTTTAGTATTGATCCATATGAAGGAGGTCTTGAAGGGCAAAGACTTCTTACTGCATTTCAGCGACGCAAGGGGACAAGGGACGTCGGGGCGTGGTAGTACCGCAGGTGGCGGCAGCAGCAGCAGGCCTGTGGTGGCTTCGGCGGCGTCAAGTGGGGGCCCCAAAGGGATGAAGGTGGGTGAGCTGGGGGCGGGCGCACGGGCGAACCATAGGGCCCCGGGTGCGAGGGAGGACTGGAAGGCATGCGCGTTGGCGTTGTATTACTACCAAAGCTGCAACTGCGACGACAATTGCTGCTGCTCCTCCATCTACCACTTACGCTGCCGCGTTTGATAATGGTGCCACTATTACCGTCGCTGGTGCTGTCGATATTGATCGTATGACAAGGATGCTTGCTGCTTTCGGCAACCACCAGCATGCGTTCCGCTCTGTGGCCTATCCATCCCACAACCGGTAAGCCGCCATCCTGGGTCCCATTTCCCGGGCTCCCCTCCTTGACCCGGGCCCCTCCCTTTGCGGCTCCCGGCAGGGCAGTACCGGGGCACAGGCCGCCGCCGCAACTTCCCTGCCTGCGGTGCTGAGTCTGTCTTGTTGTGTTCGTGAGGGTCACTGGTACCGTGACCTGAGAGATCTGGGACCCCATCAGGACGGCAGGGAGCCGCAGCATGTGACCATCTCCATGTACAGCAAGTGGGTGCAGGAAGGGAAGAGGGAGAGTGTGTTTGGGCGGCTTTGCATAACTGCCGAAGACGGGATAGTCGAGGATGGATATGGTACTGGGTTAGCGACTTGGTGTCGGTGAGGGTCGGTGGAATGGGTTCAGGCGGGGTTTAAACGCGTTCATGATTGCAACTTTGTGCTTGTATGTGTGTGCTGGGAGTTGGTCGGGATTTGGGTTTTGGTGGCCGTTGTGACATACTCCTGCCCTACATCGCAGCCCCCTCGCTGCAAGCGCCTCTGTGCCGTTTCCCTCCTCCTCTCGCCCGCTAACCCTGTCTAGGAACGGTGCTCTCACTCCGCCCGCCATCTAAGCTTAAGCAGGCGTGTCCGGCGTTGCATGCCTCCTCTTTTTCCCGCTTGGTCCCCCCAGTTCACTACATCACAATAACGTCCACCACATCACCAGCACACCCTACAGCAGCAGTAGCTGACGGCTGGTCCTTCCATACCCTTCTATCATGCGCAGGGTTGCACAGCAGCTCAAGGTGGTTCGTAAGGCACTTTTGGACGAGAAGGCGGGCGTATTCATGCTCCGAACGCAGGGTATGGAGGGCCTGAAGCGGGCGATACAACTCGCAATGCAGGTGTGCTTAAAGAACTGAACTGCGACAAGTACAGGTTAAAATGAGGGTGTGCGTGCGTATAACAGCTGAGCATTAAGCATGTGTGTTCGTGTGATTAACGTGGCTATCTTCGTGGTAAGCAAATAGAACCCACTGCTACTTCCCGCGAACGTGGGCAAAAGTATTTTGTCGGCAAAAGTATCTTAATTATAAAATAACTAGAGGGGCTTGCTGACTGGGCTAGGGAATCAGCAGAGGGGAATCAGCAAGAGTAGGGGCAAACGAGCGCATGGAGGCGACAACCAACCAACCAAACGACAGACCCCAGCTGCCAACGCCACAGTGGATGAAGAAGCCGACACGTTGACTGGGACGAGGGACGTCCAGGAGGCATTTCCGCCGTTCCCCCAGGCTCGTGCAGGTGCCTCTACTAGGTCAACCTTCGCTTTAACGTTGGTAATGGATTACCGCCGCGCACACCTCCCGCTATGCCACAAGGGGTTGCCGCCGTACTGATGCCGTACCTTGCGGTACAGGTATGCACGGATATGCGCGCGGCTCACCGGGACCTCATCCTGGAGCCCGTCAGCGTCTGGTTTCCGGAACGCGACCAAGAGGGGGGCGATGTCCCCAACAACAGCAGCAGCAGCCGCGGCGACGGCGGCAGCAACCGAGACCGGCGCGAAGAAGCCTTGGTCGCTCTCCGGGAGGGGATGGAAAGGTTTTTGGGTGGTATGCAATGCCTGATGACGTCACGGCGATACGGTTTCGACGATGAGGCAATTGGACGTGACGTCGAGGTCGCGGAGGCAGCCTTGGGCTGGTTGTGGGAGCAGCTGACCGGTGGGTCTGGACGCAATGGAGGCGGAGGCGGCAGTGGCGCTGCTAGCGCCATGGGCGCTTCTGGAAGTGGCAGTAATGGTGGGATTGGAGGCGCCACATCGGCGTGTAAGGATATGTGCTTCTGCCTGCTGCTGGCGGAGTGTGTGCGGGGTCGGCCTGGGGAGCTTATGTCCCACTGGCGGGGCCGGGATATGACGGGACTGGGGGCTAAGCGGCAGCTGGAGAAGACAATGATGATGCCGACGGTGTGAGAGGGCGGAGACGGGGAGGACGGAAAGCATATAAAAAAACATAGCATAACATAGCATATTACGCCACGGGAAAGCGTAGCAGTTAGAGGAAGGGCAACGACACACGGTCCGGGTATGGAAAGGTAGGAGGGATGGGGGAAAGGAAGGTGGAGGGGGGAGGAGGGTGTACACCTTGTGGGAAGGATTGATGAAGGCGGCGAGGTTGGGGGGAGGTGCAAGAGGAAGCACGCATGGCGGTGGTGGCCGAAGGCCTCACCCCGGATGAAGGAATAAGCGGCGGGAAGATATTGTCAACTCTTCTTGCGTGCCACGAACTGCAATCGTCCATTCTGGAGTTACACGCGTGTGGATGCAGGGCATGCGAGTGGAATAGCTATACAAATGTGATACGGAGAGCTCTTTACTCCTACCAGTACAACACCTTACAGGACAGAATGTCCAGTATTGGTAATAAGAGCCGCATCAGCGGATTGAGCGGGTTGTTTCTTAATGCGTCTTCTTCCTTAGAGGGGACGCCAATATCTGTTTGGGAAGGTCGGAGGGAAAACGGCCTCATCTGGCGCATACGCGGCTTCATGGTGGTGTGCAGGACGATTAAATTAGGACACGACACTGCTTTAGGATACCGATGCAGCAGAACATAGCTTCTCATTACAGACAAGGAAAGACGGCAATCTGTGTACAGGAGTAGTAGGGTGCATTGTTGGGCGAGTAGTTAGATAGATAGGCGGTTGGGAAGGCGGTCTCCACATTTGTTTGTCGTCTGTGTTATGTATGCGCGCACACGTGTGTGTGTGTGTGTGTGTGTGTAGGAATCTGGGTGCGGGCTTACCTCGTGTTTCTTCGTGTCGGTTGAACTCCCGAACCTCGTTGGATACACCTGTTTTTTTGGTATTATCTGTCAGGAATGTCGGGTGACGCGTCTTGAACCGGAATGGTTGAAGGGCTGTTGGGCTGTCTGATATCTCTTGAGGCTCGTGACGACTTGTCTAATGCAGAACACAGAACTTATGTCAGAACAGGACACAGGGTTGCGAAATGATGGAGTTCAAGACTAGCAGGTCGGTGTGTGTGTGTGTGCTCGATGTGCTCGACACTTGCATATGGTGGCGTCGCAAAGCGGAATAGAACAATGAACCAGAGCAGCGCATTTTGTGCGGAGCGGGGGAAGGGGTAAAACCGCGGGGTCGGGAAAGAAAGAGCCGTGTGTGTGCTGTTGGGGCGATACCTGGAGTAAGTTGAGGATTCATGATTAGCCGTCCAGGTACCGTACAGAACGACAGGCGGAAGTAGATACGTAGTTTCACGAATTACGAAGTCAAAGTGGTGTCAACGCAACTATATTCATTATAGGAGTTAACTCACACGGGAAATTCCTGGGGTAAGGAGGGAGGTGAAACGGACAAAATAAGTGAAGGCCTTAAAAGGGAACCAGCCTGCAAGCATCCCTCTCGGAGATAAAGAGGAAGATAAGTGGCTTACTGTGTATTCACGACCGGTGACAACAACTGGTCTGAAGATAGGTTAAATGGAGACGGGTGGAGAGAGGGACCATGGAAACATATGGGAAGGTAGAGGTTGTGGAAATGCGTTGCAGCTGTGTAAGAAGGCGGAGGCGGATGGCTCCCACTTGGTATGATGTGGGTCGATTTTGATTGCGATGTCCGCTTTCGTAATGTTGCCTCCCCTTGTAGGCTGCTGGGAGAGTCAGTATCGGGGAAACCTTTCCGGCAACCCGTGCTGCATCTTATGTGTTATGTAATAGCTGTACGGCACGCATATCATCTACAAATACGCGCTTACGCGCTCCACCAGCATCATGGGAGGCTTTTTCAGCGGCCAGCTACCCGGGTGTAACGACAGCCCAGCTTGGGTTGCAATATCATCTTAAAATTCTGTAAGACTTCATTTCTTGCGCATATTATGGTCGTCTGTATTCAGTTCGGTGAGCATCACCACTTGGGATGGCGCCCATCAGTGGACCAGTAGACCCCGTTGATATTCCTTTTGCTGAAACAGCTTAACTATCTTTTATCGGAACACAACGTGAAATGAAGTCAGCCGGAAAGGTTGAAATGGGAGAGAAGCTCTCAGGACCGTTGCGGAAACCCAATGGGGCCCGATCCCGACTGGAAGACTGGTGCCGTACAACCAGCTTTGGCGAGTCCCGTACGCCTCCGTACGCCGACCACTTATCCAAGTCGGAAAAATATTCAGATTGTCAGAACAGAGGAAGATCTCCAATAATATGAATTATTTTTGTCAGGATATGTTCCATCTCCGCAGTCCCTAACCCCATAGCAGGCGCGGCGTTGTGTGAAGGTCCCAAATGATGTGTGAAACAGGGGGGTATATCTTCACCCGTGGCAGCTACCCTGCGAAACCCTGCCTTCCCCGGTATTTCGGGGCACCCTCATCCAGTCACCCTAGTCAACTTCTCAGAGGATCGCTCAGATTCCGCACACACTACCAGCATCAAATGGAACCTGCCGCGTCGGCAGCGGCCCAACTCCATTCCTGGTCGGCTTGCAGGATAATTTTATCCCAGGTCATCACCGTCCATCAACTAGGGGCGCTATACCGTCCATCATCGGAAAGCCCTGAGAGGTCTCGATCCCGGGATCTCCCTGGGGCAATGGTCGCGCGTTACCAGTAGTGCCTATCCTATGATTTGCCAGTGCCATATCTATGTTCTGAAACACGTGCCTTCCGCTTTCCCCAAGGAAACGTTCAAACACTTGGTGCCTGTGGTTGATATCCGCCTGCTGTTGTTGTTACAGCGCGCTCCCAAGCTGCTTTGCTCGCGAGCAAAGATCGGGCGCAAAGAGGCTGAGCCGACGGGCACACCGCCTGGCGCTGCATGAAACACAGACTAGGAAAAAGGAGACCGACTGGTCCTTACTGGCACACACTCCTGCACACCTATTCAACAGGCTTGGCCTAAACTAAGACCAAACTAGGTACCAGCAGGGGTACTTTGCCGATATGGCTCCCCAAAGATGATACCAAAGATAACCCCGTGCCCAACAGTACCAGTACATAAATGTCCTCAGTGACAGGAAGCCCGGCCGAATACACATAAGATTGTTAGCCTTCCCCAGGGAAGGCTGAGACTGCAAAATCACTCGGGGATGGAATTACCGTTCACCATTGTGTAGGAGAAAATCCATGCAAAGTAAATTGTCGTCCACTACCCGTAAAATGGGATAGCGTGGTCCAACTGTGTCGTCGCAACCACCCGCATAGGTCGGCGGCCTGATGCGGTGAAAGAACGTAATCGCACGACAAAAGTAAACACATCGTTCTGTGGAAGGCGCGATCCATGATGTAGGCCTGGTTTGCGAGTTCCTGTCGGTGTACTGTTGCTTGCACCAACCGATGCCCCGTCTCCACTCCCGACTGCCGCCAGGACTACTACATCCCGTTGCATTTCCACCGGAGATCGCATTAGCCGAACTTTCTCTCGAGGTATTGGATGAGCGGATTATAGCAATTTGGTCAATGACCGCTTGAGCAACTGGACAAGTCCAAAAATGATGCAGTCTAGGTGACCGGGGTTCTTGACTGTAAGGTGTGACCACCCCCCCACATACATGCGTTTGGTGTAGCTGTGTGCACATGAGAGCTACCAAGTTACAAGTTACAAGTGCCGCACGAGTGCGGGGAGGTCCGTCAAAGCCGGGAGGCCATGGACTATATATATTGAAAGTTGATTACACCGTACGACCGACGGCGGTTTGGGTCCAGCCAACTTGACCCCTCCTCATCCAGTCACCCAACATCCGTAGAAACAGATCAGCCATCACCACCATCTCAGCATGCGAAACTTAATCCATCAACTAAACCTCATCTCAACACCTCAGTAGCGTTAGTAAACCTAGACCTCCCGTACAATGTCGGGGGTTAGACCAGGAATCGAACCCGGAACCTTCATATAACCATCTGTCTGGTCTGGGTTGACACTACTGCGATTCGCGGTTTAAGGTCCTGGGTTCGATTCCTGGGGAGACCCCCGAATTAGTCGGGAGCGCGAGATTATGGCTAGCTGCTGAGATGTGGAGTTGAGGTCGCAGTTGATGGACCAGATTCGCACGCTAGATTGGTGGCGATTGCCGAACCCTCCGTCTCTTCGGTTGTTCGGGTGAATGGATGAGGAGGGGTCCTAGACGGCTGGACCCACCGCCTTGGACTTACAGTTCGTATGGCGAAGTATAGTGTGGTAGTGGTGGACGGTGCTATAAGATGATAAATCGTAGAACTGACAATGTGATAAAGCGGCCCAGAAGCCTCCCACTCTGTAACATTACATTACATTACATATATATAACCATAGGCGCCATCTTGGATCCATTTCTCGATTTGTACGTGCTACCTAATACTGGGCTACAATTCATTGACAGCCTTCACGACATCTCCTTTTGGAATTTTGCCCATTCGAAGATTTGACAAAACGCGACGTTTTCAAATGTCTCAACTTGCCTTGCCGGGACGCATGTTGTAATGCATGAAGACGGAGGTTGCTGCAGGGAAGGGATGTTGAGTGGTTCCCGCACAATAGCACATGAGCTTGATGACGGTCCTCATCCGGGTGACGCAACAAAGAACCGCTGTGACTACTTTAACGCTCAAATCCCGTACACGCGTCCGGTCATCATTCGTAAACTTTCAACCTAACCTATTGCGCACCAACATATACGGCGACGTCCCCAGGGATGGTAAGCTTCTGGGGGCTCCAGGCATGTCAGGCGCCTGCGGTTGATATTCGCCTGTGGTGGGTAGCACGTTCATTCCCCAGATGGGCATAATACTGCTCAGGGTTGCGCACCCCCCTTTTATAAGAATCCTCTGCGGGCTTCTTGTTGGCTCTTCCCTTCCCTTTCCTATCGAGCGTTTCCGATTCTGTTTGTGCCACAGCTGATTTGATTGTCATGGACCCGTGCTAGGAGGGCTGTCCCAACTGCAACACAGTGTCACCCGGGTTCGCTCATCCTGCTGGTACTGCCGAAACAGATGCACGTGGAAACGCTGGCGTTGAATGTGCTGTAGCGGGAGTCAGGCTGTGGCAACTTTGACGAAAGACGGGACAGCTGTTGCGTCCAGAACGATAACGTTGGAGATTTGATTCCGTAAAGAGATAGGGACAGCAAACGGTACACATCGCCTACACGGCGACCACACATCGACCAAAGCAAGCCCAATCGCAGCCCCCAAAGCCAAGGTTGACATCAAAATCTTCGCTCTGCGTGGGAAGCCAGCGAGCAGGCGGGCAGGAAGGAGGTGTTCCAGCATATCACAATGTTTATCCCGCATTCAGGGTATCGCAAGCTTATGCAGTTTAGGCTTTGCTGTTGGGCATTGGCGGCTAACAGAGCGCGTAAGGGACGGCGTTAGGAGGAGCGAGTATGACCCTGCTGCGGCACTGATAGCCATATCGAGGATGAGAAGCACATTTTGCTCGACTGTCCGGTGTACGACAAAATCAGATTTGATATGGATTTCCCGCGCTTCGAATATATGAAGGACCCTATGAATTGGGAAGTTGAACGCCTGGCAAGGATGCTGGAACGTATATGGTCCCACCGCAACTCTTTCGTTCCCTTTGGTCGTATTAGTTTCCTTTATCACTTGCTTTGTCTGTAGTGCAAGGTAGGATGGTGCATATAGGCGATCTGGCAGCCCTTGATCCCTCGGCTCGTATTAGGGCGGTTTACAGGTACGGGGAACGCACCCACGACCATGTTACACACACATAACCGAATCTAGCGGCATCACCTGCACCCCTTGCAGACGTAGTATATCCTGCAAAGCGGCGCGTTATCGCTTCCTCTGAAAGTGCATTTTAGTACATAGTTGCTGACCTGGTCATACGTGGGATGATGTATGTGCGATTCATGAAGTGACTTACGATGACGGATTGGGTACACACGGGTTGGGTAGACGCGGCGGTTTACAACTCCAGTGCAAGGACCATGACTGGAACCTGGGGCGAGTTCATTCGGCGAGTATGCGTTACGACGAGTATGCGTGAGGCCGCCAGGACGGAATCGCAAGGGGTGTGTGATAGTGCGACGGATAGGGAGTGCACGTATAGTGATAAAATAGAGCACGGACGCAGAATCTTCTTCCGCTTGATCGGCAAGGGATCCAATGTAATCACGGAACGGATCAGAAAATTGTAGCTGCAAGAGTATGTGCGCACTAGATAGGAAACAGGCACAGAAGGCATCACGAATTTATATGGGGCTGGCGCCAACATGCAATCTGATATAGCATTCTTGTGTCAGTATCTACATGTTAATAACCTCTGTAGCTTGTGAGCATTCTTACGCATTTGAGGAATAACAGGGCATGCTTAACATGCCCTAGGCTATACGAAGAGCAAATTAGAAAGCACACCATCATCGGGTTGAGATCTCGTGCTATTAAGGAATTTAGAGACGCCTTATCTTCGCTGTGGCGTTTTGATGGCTCCAGGAGGGCTTCTGTACTGCTGCATTGTGTACGGGCCCATGAAAATGAAGAGCCGATACTAAAGTATCATTCATAACATTTTGATGCGTGTTGGTAAGTTAAGGACTGTGCTACAGAATCATATCTACAATTTCTCTCAGTGCTTTTGAAGCATCACTCTCTGTCTCCTTCCTGCTTGGCCCTGGTATGGCCATAGACACTCTCCGAATGGACGGAAATCAGTATGCATCTCATAGTGGAACTGCCCTTGGTTATGGGGCGTACCACGGCTATGACACTTATGCGCGTCAGAGTATGCAGATGCAGCCTCAGCGAGGCCCTCCCCTTCAACCTCGACAAGGCCATGGCTATTCGGGTTGCTATGGGCGTTCTCTCAATGTGTTCAAGTCGCAGGGCTTCAGCCACGGCGGGGCCTCGAAGCGGAAGTATGATACCTTTAACCAGGCACCGCAAGGGGCATCGCTTCTACATCAATTGCGAGCAGACAACTTGAAGAAAACCAGGCGGCACTTTCAAGGTATCCGGCAGTTCAATGGGATGTTTCGCTTTTCCAATGTTTGGAGGAGGACTATCCTAAATCCATCTTCTTTGGACCCCATTATTCAAGGTTCCTTTGAGGCTTTGGAATCCACGCCGCGGATTGCACCCAAGGCACCGGATAACAGGCACGGCTTCCTTCTTTCAGCTGGTAAGAAGTGAGGTCCTTGGGCTGGGTGGCCACTGAGCGTAGACGTCTCCTTCGTCTGTATCCTTTCAGTTAGGTTAACGACAGTCTTTCTTGTGAAGGGACGAGGGAAATAGCTCCGACTCTTGGCGTTGTACCGTGTCATCTGGTGCCCACATTGAGACTTATGATGTTATGTCCTTGTTATTTCATGAAAATTTACGTCGCAGGTTCGGGGGCCTTGCCTTCAGGTCCAAAGGGTGCTCTGCATGCCATTACACCAAGTGCTGTGCCGGGTGGCGAGGAGCAGCTATGGAAAAACAGCTATGGCAATGCCGACAAGGAGGCCGTTCAACTTGCTGCAGCAGGTATGTAGGGAAGGGTCTGTAGGGTGCACTTCCCTTAGCTTTGCATTCTATGCAGTTCCCTAACCGTTTTGATTTTGATTAGGTCCAGTCATTGTGACGCATGAATGAAAATGGGTAGGGTCATGGTTCATTTAGCTTTGCTTGGTGGGCCTAGGTTTTCACTGTCTGCGTCGTATGGATTCGTCTTTCGTTGTGCAAGGGTATTGGATGTGTTGCTGTTAGAAAGACCGTTGCCAGCTTAAATTGTTTGCTTTGTATTAACGACACGTCGTTTCCCGCCCGCACTGCCGCCGCCCGTGCCCGTTCGTATCCCTGATGGTTTGCAGCCGGCCTTGACTTCCTTGGCTCTTTCTATGATGAAGGAGCTACACTGACGTTTGATGAAGGTCTCGAGGCTGGGGAGCGGGACGACGAGGTCGAGGATAGAGGGGACACAGGGGTTGACGCATCTGTAGCAGAGCAACCGCCGAACACATTTGACGAGGAAGCCTCATTCCCGCCGCAAGCCAAGCGGAAGCTTGCCTCGCAGGCTGCGTACATCGCTCAACTTGAGGAGCAACAGCTAACGTTACGTGAGCGCATTTTCCTCCTCGAGCAACAATTAGCTGAGGCGCGGCGACAACGCGGGGCATCACCTTGCGGGCACAGTGATGACGCGGATGAGGCCAGCGACGAGGACCGAGCGACTTCGTCTTCCGAATAGTTTGACGGTGCATGGTTGCGTTGGGTGTCAGTTTTCTGGAAATTGTTTTCTGCGCCTCATGCCTTCATGCATGGAAGGGCTTGGAAATGGCGGCGTTACAAGGCACGGCCTGATTTTATTTGCATTCAAACGACTCATCTTTGTTCTCCTGTTCTATCTCTGTATCTATCGCTTCCCCGCACTGCCGGTTTGCTTTTGCAGCCGCCCCATGATATGCTGGTGCTGGTTGCGCGGGCGAAGCACCTTCACGCGTGCTGTGGTGGTGGAGTCCACCCCGCGCCAACCCGGCTAATGGCAAAAGGTAAGCACCCGCAGCGAGGGTTCCTGTTGATACGCGTATCCTGGATGGTACGCGCAACAGCACCTCAATCGCGGTGTGCGCCTGTTTGGGCCTGTATAGCAGAGTCGGCAGCAGCCTAAGGCTGTTAGCCAAGCTGTCCACGGGGAAAATCGGCGTCCACGCATGGCATGGCTTGGGCCATCCTGCATGTATACAGCTGACAGTCGGTACTATTGGTCCCGTGTGGCCTGCAATCAGGTTTACCATGTACAACAGTGCATTAGGACAACGTGCAAATGTGCAAGAGTGACACTGTGTCCTCGTAATGTCAGCTTAATTAGTACAAACATTTGGTGGTGTGGGCCTTAGGGATCAGGTGGTCCTTCCAAGTAATTTTTACCAAGTTATCACCCCAGCCAGCTACTTCTGGTCACGGCGAGATGTAGGACGTTGCGGACCTGCCCGCTGGCAACACGACACAATGTATACGAAGCCAACATGTAAGCCCTGAAAGTGGTGTTCGGAGCTGGCATGCGAGCCTTGTTCTGGTGATCAAGATGCATCGGTGCAAAGGGTAGGAGGTCTGTAAATGTATGAAAGGTCCTGATATAACCTGGGGTCTGGGCCATGTTGCTCGTTATGAAAATGTGTTGCGTTGTCCCTTTCAGCAGCAGAAATGTCCTTCATGTTGTCCATCAACCGAATACAGACATCCGGCAGGTTAATCCAACTACGCGAGAAGAATGCTTTTTTTTGACTAAGTATAGGGGAAAGGAGGTCAGTTGTAGAGATTAGGGCGCTGTGCTTGATCGTTATCCCTTGGCCATACGTACAGATATTGTTTGCAATGCATGCAAACGTATATTCTGGCGAGTACGACGCCAGATTCATGTAGAAGCGAAAATGCCCCTTGCGACCGCTTGTTCCATTACATGCCCAGGTTACCCGTATGTAACACTTCTCATAACTTCCGAAAGCGCATGAGACTGCGTTAGATCTTCGCGTGTACTTTGTCGTACCTTCCTCTATTTCATCTGCAGGTTACGGGATGACCACCTCGAGTACGACGCGAGTTGACAACTTCTAAGAATTCACAGCTAGATTAGACATCGGGACACCACATAAGTACCTTAATCCTTCTGCTGTGATGCTTTTTTTAACCTGTTGCCATTATTGGTCCTATGAGTTAAAAACGTTATGCATTCGGAGCGCACGCATTTGAATTACTTGGGTATGAAATGTAATATATTAACTGTTTCCCATAAGGCTTGTAAAGGCATCATGGTGTGGTCGAGTTGAAGGGCGGCCAGACGTCGTTAGTAGTTCGAGAGTTCACACACAAATGATGAGTACATATGCGATGGAAATTACCATGAGTTGCGGCATTCTGCCATTTGCTTCGTTCGCCCTATCATGGCCACTGCTTATGAAACCGTAACAGTTTCCCGATGGGGGGGAATAACCTTGGGTTAGCTAGCGCGGTTGGATCTGCCATATAACCTCGACTCGAAAGAGAGTTTTGGGTTTATGAAGTCAGCACCCATAGATCACAGCATTATTGGCCCAAGGAATTTATTTTTTTGTCCTTTTACACTAACTGTTGTTTTTGGCTTACACCTTTTAATCTGTGTCCACTGCGCAAGGACCGCGCTTACGTATAGATGAAATAGTCGCACCTACCGTCGCAGTCCGTGTTTGTCACCCATATGGTTAATAATTTGTAGCTACAAATTGCTGGGATCGTACGCAGCAACGCGTCGTTGCCCTAGAAACTAACGCCGTGGCACAAGCGTGTACCGCTGGGGTGTCCTCATCAAGACAATATGAACAGGCTCCCTGCGACCCAGCATGAGCTGTTCTGTACCAGGATGGGGGCTGTGAACCGCGGCACCTGTCATGGAGCGACAGGTATTGCAGCCTAGTAGAGCTATGCTGGCGTGCGGTCGGGCCACATCGGACGGACAACGGACATCACTATTAGTTCAATGTTAAATCAGGTGCATCTATGGATTGTTACTTGTATTTAGCCTTTTCAGTCTTCTTGCGCTGATAAGTCGGATATAACCGAGAAACTCCAAACGGGCGATATTCGATAGTTACAATCTATGTACAATTGTGCTTACGTTCCGTACTGAATTCCAGCATGTAGTTCCATCTATTCGAGGGTCTTAAATTAATTAGGGGTTCTCCCAAATCTAACCACGCATTCCGTGTGCACGCCGTACAAGTTTAGGAATTTCTGCCCGAGTTATCAGTAAATGTACTGAAATTATTCGCAGTTGTGATATGAGGGCAACCAAAATCGGTTGATAAATCATTTTCCGATAAATTCAATCACCTACGGCCGACAGACAGAATACATTCCCACAATTGAACTTGAGTGGATAGTGAAGGACATCGCTTAAATTGGAACCGTCAGTTGGACGCTGAATGCAATCACATGCTGTGTAGCGACTGTTGCCTTATGTATTGTAAAAATTGTTCAGAGGTCGGCAAACCCTGAATAACTGTCACAGGTACTGGTGCCAGGGTCGAATAACTGTGTGGAAATTATTTTGGTAAAAGCCGTCAATTGACTGTTCGTTATGAGAACCTCTCAAAGCTAGCGTTTACCTCTGTGTCAAATGGAAGGTTTGGTAACCTAATGATGAAGTTTATAGCTTCAAAACTGCGCAAAACTGCCTTTTGGGGGGAATTTCTGCACCCTGCCGTACGGCTGCCGTACCAGCGATGAAGCACGGGTTCAACGGAAGGACCCGCTGTACCTGTGGCGTTTGCCGACCCCTGGTATTGTTTCCTGCAAATTGTACGGTACATCCCCAGAGGAGTAACGATGGGCTTGGCCTGGGCCGCGAAGGATCATCGAAGGATACTGCAAATGTTGGCCTCACAATGATCCAGCAGTCTTCTATGACAACGTGGGGTACGTACGCAACCGAAATGTACACTCTCTCCACGAGCCACAGTCACAGTCTCGACGTCAGCAGTGTTATATGAATTCCGTTAATTACGTTCATGACTAACTATTAATTATTTTATTTTATAGTTTTTTGAGACGTGTAGGCGAGACAACTTCTGTTGTACAGCCGTCTGTCGTACCCATTCAGTGGTGTATTCTTTCTCCGCAATCCGATTAGTTCTGTCGAAGTGGACGTTTGGTAGTCAATAACCAACTAGCCGATACAGGCTATCTTGTAAACGCCTCCGTATTATTCGTTTATCTCGTCCATACTCGTAACATGGTACATGCACGTGGGCGCGGTATCCTGAGACCTTTTGGTCCGGGACACGTTTACCACCCTATCATTCACGTTCATCGAGGCCAAGAACTACAGCGAGGCAACCTCGTCATTGCCTTCGGTTGTGCATCTTTTTGAGCAAACAGCTGTTATTGCCACTACCGGATCAGCCGTTGCTAACGCCTCTAAATTCGCGACGCCTGAGTCGTTTTCTTTGGCATCTTCTATTGGCAAGATTGCCAAGTGTCTTCCTATTCGCCGTTTTCTGCAATGCCAGATCCAATGAGCGAAGTTAATGGCTTAGGGATATAACACTCAACCCCCAACCTATCGCCTGAAGTGTAGATGAGGACCAGCCCGCTGGTTCTCCTTCTCATCGTCCTCACATGTTTGGGCCGTAAATTAGTCGCAGTGTTCTGAGGCGGTCGCATTTCCAGGTCTGCAATGGCTTAAGACACTACCTGCGTATGGCGTCGGTACGGCAAGGTAGTCTGGACTGGCAATTGCCTCTGGTAATTGTACCGCTCCCCCAGGTGTCCAGCGGGTAGGAGATGCCCCTGGATTGGCGATGCTAAGTATGTGAATATACATTCGACACGAACATTACGGATTGTCATTACGGTTTACAGACGATCAGCGATTGCTGCAGAGTGCAGGCTGTTTTTCTGCAATGTTGCATTGCAGCTGGAAACAAACTTCCAACTGATATCCGCACCATTCAACATGCATGGTGGTCATTCGTTATTATCCATGCTAGACGCAAATTCTGCTGTCAACATGCTACTGCTATTCGCTCGCCATCATCTGCGACTCCACCCACACAAGGCCATGCCACTCGCTCAAAAAAGCAATGAGTCTGCGGGTATAGCTTCCACACTCCTCCGAAATGAAGCGCAGGACGCATTAAAACACACCCGCGACCAAAACACGAGGATATACATTTCTAAATTTTGAACATTTCGCACAATACCGCTAGCCTGGCAATAGGGTTAACAAACAAATCTTTCTGTCGTACGGCCCTGCCCAGAGCGGAATCACACGTGGCACACTGCTGCGGCTGTGACAGCAGAACAAGTCAGCGCGCGAAGGTCTGCCAAATATAACATTCCCGTCCTGATCAGCAGGAGAGGCTGCAGCTCAACACATACATAGCAACTCAGCAAATGAGCGATCCTTGGATGTCAATCACGAACCTGTAGGACAAATAGTAGAACGGCAATACAACAGGAAAATGTAAAAACTTGGGCACGCATTAAGTCAAAAGTTCTGAGTTAATCATTTGAAGAAATCGCTATGATGCTGCATGATGAGTTTGACAATGGATGTGCGGCTACGGTGTTTCGGTTCTTTGCAGCTATGAAATATGATATTTGGGGCAGCATACCACCTTGATTAGTGTCGGATGACGATAAGGTCAATGGGCGGCCTAGCAGGCCGATTCCGGAGGGGCCCAATCTTCGCCGAGTTTAGGCGGCAGCTTATGGCAGCATGGGCACACCCGAGGCTGAGCACGGATCCATCAGATTTCCCGTCGGATGGAAACCAACCGGGGGTTATGATGGCGAAATAGGCGCATTGGATGCACAAGCACACAATCACAGTTTGCCACAGTACACCGTCGCCACTGAGGATTAAATGCAGCCCACAATGCCAGCCGAGCATTTGCATTTACATGCATCAAAGCAGCAGAACGCACCTTAACATACTTCAATACCAAGGATTCAGCAACACCGAGGCGTAGGAGTTTTAATGTCGCACACCTTTCCTTCCCCTTCCCTCCCTTGACCCTACCGATAGCGGACATCGCTCTTGAGCATCCGCTCGTACGCAGTGTTGACGTAGTCAATGGGAATCTTCTCAATGGTGGCGCCAATGCCCTTCTCGCCGCAAAAGTCCAACATCTCCTGAGTCTCCTTAATGCCGCCGATGAGCGAGCCGCTCACCGTCGCTCGCTCTGTGCGGCAGGGCGGTACGCACAAGGCGTGTTACACAGGCGCATAGCCCATATACATAAGAACTCCTCTGAATTCAATCTGCCCAATCTGGCCTCGCAGCTGCGCTTTGCGGCTCCGACACTTCAAGGCTGCATGGGGAGCTCCCCCCCTCGCCCCTCTACCCCTTCCCCTCGTGAGACGCTCTCAACGCCTATAGTCATGGCGCTTCCAACCCAAAACCACGTCACACTATGTCCAACCTTTTTTACTCAAGAGAACACAAGGCCCAAAGCAAGGCAAAACCCCAGATCCTGCTGCACCGATATGGAGATATAAAAATTCCGCCTCACTCCAACTCACTGAAGATGAGGGCCATACTCGGCATCTCCAGAGGCGCATCCGGCACCCCCACCAGCACCAGCTTTCCGTCCAGCTTGAGGAGCCCCACCAGGGCATTCAGGTCGTGCTTAGCGGACACCGTGTCGATAACGCCGTCCAGACTGCCAATAGCCGACTTTGCGAGCGAGGGGGGAGGGAGGGAGAGCAAACGGAGGAACGCAAAGCCAAAGCAGGGCGAGACAACAAGAGGACCGCAGCCGAGTTATCAAAACGACAAGCGTACAACATAGGGATTTAGGAGAGAGCGCAGAGACGGCATGGAGACGGCTTGGAGGTAATGCAGTGCTTACACCAGCGCTGTACCGTGTATGGAGGGCAATGTCGGAGACTTTAAATGTACTGGTAATACAGCTCTGGAACCTTCCTATTCCGGGAGGTGGGGAGCTGGTGTGCTGTGGGAAGCATTTCATTCGTTTCCTCCCACATTGTATTTCGAGTGTCGTCGTACCTTCATGGCTTCAGCGTCTGACGACACCACGAACTCATCCGCCCCCAAAACCTGGCACACAAACAGCAACAGCAGCAATAGCAGCAGCAACATCAGCAGCAGCAACAGCAACAGCCCGAGCCGCCCACAGTGTAACACCTCAACAACAGCAGCAATAAAACGATAGCACGCGAAACGATAACCTGCTAGTATGTATTCACTAACAAGGCAAAAGCTCTTTATCACTGTGCCCGGGAGACCTCCACCTTTCCACACACAGGCCACCCAGTCCAGCTGCGATCAAAGCCCAGCCCGGTTCGGTCGTCTGCCGGCAGCATCCTGCTCTTTCCCACCCGGCCCGCCACACCCACATACCGTGAGCGCCTCCTCCTTCTTCTTGAGGGAAGTCGAAATCACCGTCACGTGCAGACCCAGTCCCTTGGCAATCTTGACAGCCTGGGAAGTGGGAAGATAAAAACAGGTACGGCAAGGTACGGCATTGACGCAGCGTAGTCAGGGATCCACCAAAAGGATTTAACGTCATCAAAACCCAAAGAAAACCGGAGTGTAAGTGCACGAGTACATGTACGGTATGTTACGTACTGAATACTATGCGGGCTTATTAAGGAGCCTCAGGTGAGGCATCACGGCTTCATGCGCGCAAAACTTGGTATCTGTGTAGATAGATACACCGCTTTCACCCCTTTCACACCGCCCGCCGCCGCCCTTACCATGTGGCCCAGGCCGCCCAGCCCCACAACCCCCAGCTTCTGTCCGGGCTTGTCCAGTCCAAAGTGCTTCATCGGGCTGAAGGCGGTACATTCGTAAAAATGCGCGTTTGTGGAGGAGAAAGGGGAAAACGGGCGAGTGATGGGCGGTAGGGTAAGGCAGGGCGGGGAACGGGGGGCCAGGGAATGGAGAGACGAACATTCCTCACAACAGACAGCAGCAAAACAGGAGCCAGGGCAACCAAAAACTTCAACCAACGCCGTACAGCCGTACAGCCCAACGTCCATGTCGTCCTCGCTAGGTTTTGAACTCCTCCTGCCGTCTGCCGCCTGCTGAGCACACACCTGCCCAGGTCCCGCATCTTCCTAAACCCCCTCCCTGCTTCCCCATCCTCCTCCTCCTTTCCCCCCCACACACGCCGCACGCGCCTGTAGACGGTAATTCCCGCGCACAGCAGCGGTGCAGTCTCCTCCAGCGACAAGTTATCCGGCAGCCGCAGTACAAACTTCTCCGTCACAACAATGTGAGAAGAGTAGCCACCCTGTCGAGATCCATACGGAACAGCAGCATCAGCGGCAGCAGCAGCAGTAGTAGCAACAGCAGAGTAGCAACAACACCAGCAGGAGAGCAACAGTAGCAATAGTAACAACAGCAGACAGTAGTAGTAGTAGTAGCAGTAATAGTAGTAGTAGTAGTAGCAGTAATAGTAGTAGTAGTAGTAGCAGTAGTAGCACACGCCCACCTGCGCGATAGTTCCATCCGGCTGGATGCAATTGTACGTGTACACGCAGCGCCTGCAAAACTGCTCCTCCCCACGCGGCTCGGCACACATCTCGCAGCTCCCGCACGAGTCCACCATGCAGCCCACGCCGGCACGGTCGCCAGGCTTGAACTTCGTCACCTCTGATCCGACTTCCGTTACGATACCCACAATCTCGTGACTGAGCCATACGAGCGGTCGGATGAAGACACAAACCAAGGTTAATTGAAAAACCTCAAAAGATTTTAAATATATTCGATATCATAAATGCATGCTGGGACTTGGGACAAATGGGACGAACCCAAATTGCAGCACCGAGGGTGTGAAGAGCGGCGGGAGGAAACCAGCTCAAGAGGAAGCCGGAAGCCAAATAAGCGATGGACGGGAAATCGCCATTTCGATCCGTTGCATCGCGCAGTGAGCCCCATGGCTATCGGCCCGCAGTCCGCAGTCAAAAGACACAGAAATTCCTGAGAGACGCCTCGCAGCCAAAAGCAGCGATGATGTACCATGTCTCATCCCTTTCACGCCTTTTCCCGGGAGAGGTCTAAGGAAACAACAAACAAACGAACACTCCCCCAAAGTATGGCGAGATACTTCTGGAATCGCAAGACCATCCATGTCGCATATGTCAGGAGAGCTCGAAGCCCTTTCCCCTCCTTACCCAGGGACCATGGGGTAGATGGAGCCTCCCCACTCGTTCTTGACCTGATGGAGGTCGCTGTGGCAAATGCCCGCGTGCGTGATTTGAATGCGCACATCGGTGGGTCCCACAGTCCGGCGGTCGAACGGGAAGGGGCTCAGGATGCCGGACTTGTCATGGGCAGCGTAGCCAATGCAGTTGGTAGGAGGCTCGCTGCGCTGGGTGGCAGGCTTGGCAAAGAGAGCGGCAAAGTCTCCGAAGGATATTTCTGCAGGCAGGGTTTATAAAATGTTCGCGGTTAGGTGCCAAAAGCAGCCCGATTGCAATTGCGAGTTCAGGCCGAACAGATGCGCCGGGGCCTTCCTAGATGTGGCATGCCTGAAAACATACCTCCCTCAGCTGCAGCCTTTGAAGGCTCTCCGTAAAGCTTGATGTACTCTTGCAGCGCCTGCACAAGAATGCACGAGCACGATTAGAACCGTGAACGGCTCTCCTTGCAAAGGTAGGACGCGTAAGAAAAACAGTCTCAATATCAAGCCATAATCCTATCCGCGGTGCTGAGGCAAAAAGCTTTTACACAGGCAACAGATGCACAATGACCATGATCATCAGGGCATAGACTGATAGGATGCCGGTTAACTAGCAATTATGCACAATCAAAAGAACCATGTCGATTACAAGTACATACCACGAACGTAAAAACCACATGATGCCCGCCGGCAGTATCCAAAAGCATACCACATACCTCTGCATTCGCCTCGCCAGTAGGAGCAACTTGGCGGAAAATGGCAAACGCGCGCGGATGCTCCTTGATTTCAGCGCTTGATGGTGAATAAATGCGCGGCATCCTGGAAGCTTCGATAGAGTAAACGTAAACGAAGCAGGGTCGCAGAGACTGTGAGTCCGCCGAGGCACACTTATACAGAGAATTTTAATGTAATTGGATGTAATCGCAAATCCTTTGTGCGTAACGTTGCAAATTTGTCGTGGGGGAGTCCGTAATCTGTACGGTGCATTACTCATGGTCTTTCGATATGTCTGCAATTGCAAATACAAAATGCAGTGGCAGATAACAGTAGAAATCCACAGTTGCTCGCGACTGCGACAGGCACAGTCCATAACATTAGTAACGCCCGACGTCCAATGCCCAAACGTGGGGTCGGTATCGCCAAGGGCAATCCCTTGGTGTGTCGTGGTTGGCCTATTAGGAAATCAGCTCGGCATCCGTACTGGTCGGCTTATTTACTGTTTTGTATCTTGGATAAACCTGCGCCTGGGGTAGGGGCTCTCTGGCCCAAGGCACCGTAGCCAGCTCGCAATGGCTATGAGCCGCACGGGTATTGAATGATGAGTGTCCATGACCAGAGGGCATGTACGGTGTATATGTCATTTCACGTTGTTCAGAGCTCACACAGGTAGGCAGGCAGGCAGGCAGGTAGGAAGATCGATGGGCAGATCTGCGGAGCCCAGGCTGAAGCAGTACGTGGTAGGGCGATGCACTCATGCGCTACACACGCGAGGTGAAAACTTCGGAAAGGCAGTCAGCTTCAGTCCACACTTCCCAGTGGAGGAATGTTGCAACCACTGCAACATTATGGTCTTGGTCCGTATTCCTGCGGCGCAATTCCTGCTCGGGCGTTTGCTTGTCAGCGAAAGGGGAGTATGTATGTGGGGCCTCAAACGGCCGTTGGCTATGTCTGGCTAAGGTTACGATCCCGAGTTTTGGTCAAAACGCTAAAATACGTACGGCATGCCGATGCACGTGCAGCAGGGATTCCTTCAGTTTGACTTTGTTTCCTAAAAACAACAAAATATCAATTACAGAGGTCCTCCCGTTGTCAGCTGTCGACCCCGCGTGGAAAATAGCTGAGCACGGGCTGGGCTATGTATGTAGGTGCCTGCCGCTGGGTCACTCGCGAAAGGATTAGTCGTTCCTTTCCAGCCCTTTTCAGCCCTTTTGGGGCTGCTGGCAGCCGGGTAAGGAACGCGATTCGCACACAGATTAAATGATATGATGGATAAATAGTTCGACTGGACCAGCAGCATATAAGGAAGTTTGTGCGTGTGTGTGTGTGTTGTGTGTGTGTGTGTGAGTGTGTGTGAGTGAGTGTGTGTGTGTGTGTGTGTGTCACTACTCAATGTATTTACCACGGGAATCATGGTAGGCCTGGGCCTGTGGGCTGTTGGCGGGGTTATGCGCGAGGAGCCAGGAAGCAAGAACTGCTTTTTCAGCCACTTGCTGACTCTAGATCCCCCAGATCAGCTTCTTAGACCGCGGGTGCTGTCCGAGGGGAGACATCCAGGTGCAGTCAGATATCCGCTGCTGCTGCGGTGGGGGGGGGAGGGGGGACTGGTGACTGCGAATCAGCTCTAGGGGGGCCTGCATCGAGATAGCCATCTTCGCCACTCGAGGCTGCTGTCGCGCTGCAGGAATTGGAAATATCACAACACCTTCCCCAATTTCATTACACGCTACCGTACTGTGACAAACGAACGCAACCACAAAGCTAAGTTCCCACCACCAGCAGGACGCACCACCACCACCACCACCACCAGCGACACACAGTCTGTTGACAGTCACCCTCCTCATCATCCGACAATCAGCTTATCGGGGTCCGCAGGGTAGATTTGCTGGCGCCCTCGTTTGGGCTCACACTTGCTCGTACAATACTGCCGTACTAGCAATTGAACTATACCCCAGCACTCTTTGAGCAACGACCTCACAGATCATCACCATCATCATCATCATCATCATCATCATGGCGTTGCGCCGTCATTCATCGTCAGGTCGCAACGGATCGCCAGCATGGCACCATCCGTGCACGCGGACTTGGTAACCTGCGCATACAGTCAACAGCGCAACGTTCGTGGTACCTGACATTATTTCCGGTGCATGACGAAGCCTTCTTTCGCACCAACCGCATGAGACCCTCCCCCGCCCAGCTCCCCGTGATAACGACAGCTGACGGCCACAGGCAGCTCTGATTTGCGGAAAAATGCTCAAATAGTCGCAAACAAGGACGATGAAAAAATCTTATTACATGTGTACGAGCAAGATTTAGCTTAGGGAACCCTAAGCTAAAGCCTCTGACGGGAATGTATCAAGCGGAAATGAAGGGAAGGAAGCACCGCGGCACATACTTCATCTGTGACAGCATGGGATGAGCCGAGCGCTAGCTAGGCGGTTTTACATGGTTATTTCCGTACCTTGAATACTTGGTCTTGAAGCTTGCTATCAATGGTGAAGTCACCGCCCGTGATGTTAACCCAACCTTGGATGACCTTGGGGTTGAAGTTTCCCGGGGTGATGTCACTCCCTGCATACCCACGTGGCAGGAAGGCAATGTAGGGCCGTACATCCGTACATAAATGCTTGGCCCGCAGGACAAGGCCTTGGCATGCTCACAGGGCAGGAGTCTTATGTGCACACAGCGAAAATCCATCCATCCGACATACATGCATACATGCGACGCATCTTTACCAATCCACATGCAAATCCCCCTCGCCCCCAACCACCATTTCTAGGGATAGGAACGGAAACGGATCAGCACTTTTTGCCTTGTGGCTGCATCGTCCGTCGTGTGCCGTTGGGATTATTATTGTTATTATTATTGTTATTATATATATTATTATTATATATTATTATTATTATTATTATCATTGATATTATTACTACTGTTTTTAATGATTATAATAACATTAATATTCGTACAATATATATACATATATATGCAATTATTTCACATGCGTATTATATTTACTGGTTTTTAATTCATAATAAATAACATTTGCGCTAATTAAATGCTCCAAGGGAAGCAAAGACAACAAAATGATGCAATTAAATGCAATGCCGTGCGTGTGTATACCGTACCTTTGGGGATGAGGAAGGGGTTACTCGAGACAGACGGGTGAATCGAAAACAGCAAGGGCAGCCAGGGCCGGTATCGCATCTGAAACCTCTGCGGGCGTGTGGGGGTTACCAGGTCAGGTGGGTCAAATGGAGTGAAGTCACTGAAACCCCGCACGGGGGCATGTGATGCACGAGAGCAGTTACGCGGTGTTGCACATCACAACCAACGCACCAAGCCGCGATACAATGGGACCCAGACCGGCAGCCGAGGCAAACACGCACATACGCACCCCACATACGTATGTATCAGCTGCCAAGGTCAAGACCGAGACACTACGCAAACAGCATATACACGCTCTTTCTCTCTTCCCTCACTCTCAGCGTAAGGAGGAATCTGAGCTTTAGACACGGCTATGCCCGCTCCGTGGCTGGATGCAATTACCAGAACTTGTTTAAAAGAACTCCGGACGCAATCAGGTGCATGTTAGGGGCCACTGAGGGCAAACCACCCACCTACCTGCTCGCACGCGACGCTTGCAACACGGAATGCGAGTGCGCTGTCAGGGATGTTGCACACGGGCGCCCAGACCTTGCCCGACGAGTTCCTTCCGGGGCTTCGCACCTGCAACAGACCATAAAAATACATTTCACATGGGTGCGGGACGAACCATCCGGCAAGATCTGGAGTTCATCATCCTTGTTTGGTATATGATGTGTCAGTACATACAGATATATGGATATTAGGTTAGACACTTCTAGTTGCGCGCGACCAGTACCCCCCGGACATCCCGGGATTGAGACCTATCAGGGGTAACATTTCTTCCGGTGCTGTGAGGCATTGCTCCCATAGTTGATTAACTGGGGTGACCTGTCGACCAGGAATGAAGTTGGGCCGCTGTCAACCTGCAGTTTCCGTTGGATGCTGGTGGTGGGTGCGGAACCTGAGCGATCCACTGAGAAGTTGACTAGGGTGACTAGATGAGGGTGCCCTAATTTACCGGGGAAGGCAGGGCTTCGCAGGGTAGCTGCCACGAGTGCCCCTGTTACACATATCATATGGATAAACCCGTCAACCCGGAGTGTTATCATCGGGTAGTGCTCATTTCGCGACTGCTAGGTAGAGTCCACCCTGCTAATGGGCAGCCAACCTGCAGCTGCTTGGCAGCTTGTTGCGTGTGTTTCCCTCATGGTCCTGGCTATCTGCCTTTTGCTGCCGGTTCACACCACTATCTGCCTTTTACTGCCGGTTCACACCACTATCTGCCTTTTTGCTGCCGGTTCACACCACGCGCAACATGGCCCTTACGTATGTAGCCAAAACAGCCACAAGCTGAAAATAGTAGGAATTGCGACGTGCTGTTTGTTGCACTCATCTCGAACCCCCCTCCAGCACGTGACACCACACAATGTATGAGTCGCCGTACACACCTCCATCTCAACGCGCCCGTACGTTTCACAGATCGTTTCGGCGCCGCCTGTACACAAGTTGGGTTCTAGGCCTCCATCGGGTGAGCCGCCGAAGATGATTCGGACTTGTTGCGGCGCAGGCGGCGGCGCTGGGGAGGGGGGATGCGTGATGGTGCCAGTTGGTGCGCGCATTGCGAACAGTCTGGACAGCAAGGCCCCCAGAGCTCTCGCGGTCGAGAGATTGTCTGGATGTGTGGGCATGACTGCGTACTTGGGTGTTGTGCCAGTAGAATACAGTACAGTACAGTACACGGGTAATTTTGATCCTAAAACTGTAACTCTTATCGGGAAATTTGCAGAGTTCAAGGCATATACAAAATCATTATATATGGATCAAGTAATATACTTCCAGAAGAAGATATTCGGCCTCTGAATTCGTCCGCATCAAGCTTATTTACCTCAAATAACAATACAGTACAATACAGTACAGTACAATACAGTACAGTACAGTACAATACAATGCGACACAGTACAATACAATACAGCTGAGGCGCAGCTCAAAGGGATGCATGCCCTCCCGGAGCCGCCGGTACTTACGAGAAGGGGGTTGGGGAGGGGCGGGTGGAACTGGCGGTGCGAGCGGTAGCATCTTTTCTGCGTGCGGAAGCCCACGAAATGAAGGCAAATCAGCATGAACGGCCTCTTGAATATATTTCAAAATCGGCTATAGCATAAGAACATACAAGACTTTGCAAACGTATGTGTATGTGATTTAACAGGGATTTAACCGGCGTTGACAGGTATGGTTAGTTAACAGCAAACAGTTGACAGTTGCAACCACTCAAACGCACAGGACCTGTATGAAACTGTTGTAGCGCAATAGCTAAACAGTGACAGTAAGTTATTTAAGGAATATGCAAGTCTGATCACGAATAAGAAATCTTCTGAAACTGATATGGCTGTCGGATGGATGGATGGATGTTGCAAGCTTCAGCGAGCTCGTACGGCCCAAACGAACCCGGAGGCTCATGAACCGCTTTGACAGCACCGTCGATAGGGAAAAGAAAAAAAGAGAAAAAGTAAACGAAAACAAACAAAACAAACAACAGAAAAAGAAAGTTTTACGCGAGAAGAAAACGAGTGTTTATGAGAAGGAAAAGCGTCAATTTGACTCTGAAACACAATTGCCTGTTACCGCCGAGAAAGTTAGGTAGTTAGGTGCTCATGCCGGGGAGCGAAACATCTCAAAAATTGCCTTTGCAAGACCGCGCTGATCATCCACTTGCATGATATCACGGATGTCCGCATTGACGGGCACACCGAGGTCCCAGAGCTTCTGACGCGCAGACACAATCGCCGGACATTCTACCAAGAAATGTTTCTCATCCTCAGTAGCTCCATTGCTACGACACACAGCGCACACGCGGTTCTCCCTATTGATATGGCTGTCAAGGAATTATTTGTAAGGATCCACCGGAACTGAACATTACGCATCTGTACGACGGTCATTCCGAAAATCCACGAACTTACAAAAATCGTCTTTGCTCACAGAACGACGTGTGGTTGTTTTTAGAATTTATGTTCTACACACGTTCGAAGCGCGGTTGTGTACCGTGGTCGGGGCAATGCCGGCCTGAAACAGACTTCACGAGACTTCTATAGGCATTGCACCTAGGTACTTCAGAAACACTCACTTGAGCACTGGATGACGCCCACTGGACTCCTGGGGTTGCATTTGCCCCATACCACTTTGCAGGCGTACGGCGCGGAATCCGAAGTGTTGACGTCGTGCGTTAATACGGCCAGCAGATTCCTCCCGCCGTGTCGAGAAATATCATCCGGTCGGTAAAGTCCATCGGCTGATGACTGGACACCGGGTCTATCACTGGCTTGGTCTCCCGAAGCCGCTGACAAGCTGCGAAGGTGCGGCGCGTCCGAGGACCTGGCACGGTGACGGGGCTTCTTGTAGCAAGTTATTTGACTCGCGCGGAGGTTGCTGCAGAGGGAATATGCAGTTGAGGGCGTGCGGGTCCGGTCATGGATAGCTTTTCTGCTGGTTACAGCAGAATGATGCGTTATGGTGTGGACTGAGGTTTCCTTGGGTAGATTTAGACATGCCCCTACTCACTTGTCCTTGCTAAGGTAGGCCAGTCGCGGGTTGTAGTACTTCCTGCCGTAATTGTAACCCAAGAGTTGGCACATGATCTGCGAGTGGTGTAAGCGCAGTGGTGGGGGCAGCTTGTGACGAGGACGGGGTGACTGGGAAGGCAAACAAACCGACACGTTCACGTCAAGGGATCCGCCGCTGCATGGGAATGCATGGTGTCTGTGGACCGACCGATATACCGACATACCGACATACCTACCTGGATAGTTTTTCCGTCGAAGTAGAAATCGTCGCAGACTGGCACCCAAGACCTGTCGGTTTGCAACTCCAGACGACCGGTAGTCTTGTCGCCGCCAACTAGCCGCACGCCGTTGCGCGCATCTGGGAGTTATGAGAACGGGGGAGAGAAATGAGCTGCTCGTAGGCCATGCATGCATGCATGCATGCAATTGATACAAGCTGATAGTGACAGGCTGACTGCGCTGTCAGCCTGAGTGGATTGGAATGGTTGGGACGTACGGTATCGCTGGAGGTACACAGCGGGTTGATGCGAAGAGATGGGCTTTCCACAGGTGCACAGGTGGGCAAAGGTAAAGGCCTAGACGTTGATTGTTGCAACATGTACAATCACTTACATATGAAAGGCGAGCCGGCTGTAACGCCTCCGCCTACATATGCAGGTAGCAAAACAGTTGTCATCGACTTTAAAGTCAGTAAAGGCATTTTGAGGAGCACGAACTAAGTTTTATTGTTCTGGTAATTGTCCGATAAGTACCGAGAAGGCCATATGGTAACGGTCTGGGAACGCTCATATTTGAGTTTGCATTCCTTACCGCAACAATTCAGCAACAGAAGCAATGCTGCGGCGAAAAAGGTTCGCTTGGGCAAGTGTTGGCAACGGATTGGCTGAGTTGCCACCATTTTATATAATGATGTACCGAGCACGCGAACTTTAATGAGACGAAATTTTAGTTTTGAAATACTTAAATCATAATAGCTTCTTCTTTCCTTTTATAGATATCCAGCCGCCGTTCCCATGTCGAGCAGCTGGCGGGCTGCCTTGCAGGAAGTTGCACCCCGCCCAATCGTACCAGCATTCGGGGCCTAAACAAGCATCCTGTTGGCGCTGTCCTGGTGATCCTAAGGCCATTGGTGGCCTGGCTGGGGTGTAAGATAATCATTTCGTTGGTGGTATCCATGGTCGGTGCTCGGGCTGTAACATATAAGGCGCCCTGGGGTAGGATGGTGTTCCTGTTTCTCATGTTACAAGCTCGATATGAGGTCGATATAAGGCCCAGACAATCCATGATGCGCATTGGTAAGATAAACAATCCGCTGTCCCTGTACGGAGTGACTGATTTCATTGTTGGTCCAATTTGTAAAAATGGATCCTAAACAAGCATGCCTTCCTGGAGCAATCGAAGAGTGCGGAAGGACACTCGAATCCTACCTTCTTAAGCTTTATAATAATAAGCATCCAAAATTCTGGATGTTCTCTGTTGCCGACGTATTCCATCTCCATCTTATGCCCTTCGCGGAATCCTTCTCGCGGAATCCTTCTCGCGAAAAAGCAGTATGACAGTTATACGTCCATGTTCGAGCGCTGTCAAGATTCCTACCAAGATTTTAAATACGGCCGAACCTTAATTACATGCAACGATACAGCAATCCATTTCCGACTGCACCGAGCAAGGAAGCGACAGTCATATGCCGCATACGGCCGAAAAGAACCTCCAGAATCTTGATTGATTGATTGATTGGTCGATTACGGCGATACTCAGAACAAAATCCGGAATGCGTTAGAAGAAGCCGCCAACTCGTAAGAACTCGTAGGGTCATAAGAGCCCGTAACACTGCTTACTTGCCCTCGTATACGCAAATGCAGTCCTGTATGAAATGTCATACAATTCAGGGTCCTTACGCCTTATGACGTTGCGATATACGAGTCGCAAGAATGTGGGCGCCTTACATCGCAATTCGTTCCGAAGACCGCTGTTATCAATCCCATCACACAAAACTGATGACCCAGGACTCTGCGTATAAAGTATAGGACTACAAGCAGACCGCACCCTGCCGTACTTTCGACGGTTTGAATTCCCTAAACTAACAATATAACAATTCCGGGACATCATTACTGACACATCATTGTCCAAACAAATGAGCGTCTCCGATTTTGCGGTACACGAGTTCTAGTTTTTCATATCGCACAAGCCACAGCAGTTCGTTCATCCTCGTTGGCTTCCCCAATTCGGAGCCGCAGTACTTTAAAATACTGGCTGCTATCACAATGATGATGAGCTCCCCTCCGCAACGATCGTGCATTCATTCATTCGTTCAATTTTATTCATTCCAAAGCTCACGGACCAGGAAACTTCTTAGGGTAAAAAAATCAACGGGACGGAACAGTAAATCCTTGGGACCCCCCAGGGTCCCTAAAATACCCATCCATCTCTCCATCGCCATTGCATCTGCCTGTGCAGCCGGACCGGATGGCAAGTATCCATCCATCCATCCATCCATCCATCCATCCATCCATCCATCCATCTATCCATACATACATATGTACATTCATTCATAAGGTAGGTTGCAATCCAAAACTCCAAACAAGCCAATATAAGAAACGACGCCACCGTACGGCGGATCTCTTGGTCGCCATCAGCCATGACTTTTCCTAGACTTGTGCCGTAATGTCGAATGTGTGTCTATACACCTACAAGGCTTCAAAAACGTTCAGTAACATATACGTACGACGGTAATGACCGTGACCGGTAATGGCCGTGATCATCATTTTTAACTATCATCACGTCTGTTTCACTAGTGCTAACAGCTCGTCGCAGCGCCTGGGGTCCCGTCTCCACCTACCACAAACCCCACAAACCCAACCCACCACCGCAGTAAGCAAGAGGCGCGTCACACCGCCGCACGAAAGCTGGCCTGGGTGCCTGGGTCATGCCCTGGGTCATGGCCCAGCAATCCGCAGCCCTGCGGGGAAACTGCGGCGGGCAGAGGGGCCCCCCGAACACACACACATACACACACATACACACACACAGAGAGAGAGAGCTGCTCGTCATACTTATTGTGGCGTCCTTGAGCCCGTCACGCTTTCGCCCTTCCCAACGCCTTAGTAAAGCTGCTGGCCCCCCTTTTCCCCCCTCCTTCCCCCCTTTTCCCCCCTTTCCCCCCTCCCCCTCCCCCTCCCCCTCCCCCTCCCCCTCCCCCTCGTCCTTGAGCAGTACATCTGGCGATCTGGGTTCGTCACGACCCACTGACCCACTGACTGGCTGCGCACTGCACTGGACGGTACCCGTGAAAGGGGGGACGTTGTCGCGAGCACGGCAGTGGCCGCGGCGGAAGCACCCTCCTCTCCCGACCTCAAAACCCACATCACACCAACCCGTACGGAACCAGTACAACATCCGTACTACATCCGTACTGCATCCACACACATGACAGGCTATGTAGACCACCACCATCAGCGGCGGCGGCGAACACGGCGGCGGCAGCCGACGCATGGCAGCGGTGGCTGCGGCCGCCGCCGCCATCACCGCGGGGATCCTAAGCTACACCTCCTACACTGTGTCGCCTCCACTGCCCCTGCCATATCCTCGTCGTCGGTTGCTCCTGGTAACGGACTGCAGGGTCATTGCGGTCCAAGCTATAATGGACTAGCTATATAACTTTTTCTGGGTGTTGGGTGCTACGATTGCTTTGTAACCCTGGCGGCGCCGTACCCGCACCCTCCCTGCCGCCATCGCCGCGGCTCCCGCTGCCGTCTTCACGGCCGCAACAATTTACATGTTCCGTCGGCACCGGCGCCGCTGCCGCCGCCGCCGCGGACACCGCCTTCAGTGAATCCGGGCTGCAACAGATCGGATGCACTTCCCGATTCCGGAAAGCCGATGGGAGAGGGCACCAGGGGATGGCTCAGTCCAAATGTGCGGAAGCTGCTTTCTTCACCGGTCAGACCAGCGTGGCTCAGCCGCGAGCCGCCGCCGCCGCCGCCAGCAGCGGATCCTCCCAAGCTCGACCTCATAGACACCGTGATTTCGTACAGTTGACCGGTGTTTGCCGAGTCCAAAGCGCTACCGGCCGCTGCGGCTGCCGTGGCGGCAGCACCGGCAGCGGCGGCGGCCGGATCAGCGGCGCTTTCCTGCCTCGCGACTGTGCCATCTGTGCCATCGCCGCCGGTACCGACGAAGCCATGCAGCCCCACCATCCCCGCCGCCGCCGCCACCTCCCCCCATTCCAAATGTGGGCCCCCGGAGGAGCCCGGCAGGCGAGCCGCCGTCTGTGGAACAGCGGCTGCAGTGGAAAGTACGGCAGCAGCAACAACAGCAGTAGCAGTGTAAGAGGCAGGATCGCCAGCGGTGGCGGAAATGGCATCGCCGCCAAGGCATTGCGCAGCCTTCGAGCTGACGCTGACGCTGACGCTGACGCGTGACGAGTTCCGTAGATCTAGTACGGCCTGACCAGTTTCGTACATGACAGCACGATGACGCTCCTCCTCGAGGCGGTCCGCGTACGACTGTGGCGGCGGCGGCGGTAGCGCGGGGGTTGACGCCTCAACGCCAGCAGCAGTTTCCTCAACGCTGACCGGTCGCGTTGCCCTGCCTCGCGCCCAGGGCGGCGGCGGCTGCTCCTCCTCCTCCTCCTGCTCCGCGTCCTCCAACAACGGCCACGATCTCTGTTGTTGTTGTTGCTGCTGCTGCTGAAAGCTACGGGTAAAGCGGCTAGATCCGTACGGCAGGTGACCCGACGGCGATGGCCACTCCGCCGACACAATGAGCGGCGGCTGCTGTCCGCCGCCGCCGCCGCCGCTGTCTCGCCCCTCCGCCGCCGTACTGACGGACCGGAACTGCGGCGACGGGCGGTCTCCCGACGGCGCCCCCGCGGGACTGAGAAGCGCGGGAGGGCACCCCGCCAGGCCGCCGACACAGCCGAGTGACGAGCGGTCCGTGGCCAGTAGGCCCTGCGGCAGTTGGGAGCTGCCGTACCGCCCGCTGGACGAGCGTTCCGTCAGCGCCGCCGCCGGCGTCTGGCTCCCGGAGAAGGCGTGGTTGAAGCCTGAGGAGCTCCGGTCAATCACAAGGGGAGACCTTGTGTGTGTATTTGTAGTGGTGTGGGTGCCCGTGGAACCTCGATCTTGAGAGTGCAGAGGCGAAGGGTAGAAAGCTGCCGCCAGCAAGCCGCCGCCGCCGCCGCCGCCGCTGCCTGAGCAACCGTAGCGGTAGGCGGCAGCAGCAGCCGCGGCGGCGGCGGCGACCGTCTGCGCCGGCCGCGGCGACTGCGCACCCGCGGCCGTTGCAATCGCCGCGCACTCTGAATTCCCATCTTGCCCAGCGGCGACGGCAGCGGCACCCGGGTGCGGCAGTAGCAAGCCGTTACTAGGTAGCAGCAGCGTGTTGACGGGGCTGCCGCTGGGGCTCCGTACATCCACGATCCCGGCTGAGACCATGGCCGCAAACGTGTTCATTGGATCCCGCGTGTTCCAATGCGCCATGTACGACAAAGATGACGGCAGCAGCCCCGTCGATAACGGCGCGGTGGAGGCGTTGCCCTCCCCAGCGACACCGCCGCCCCGCTGCGCCGCCGGCGACTGCCGCTCACTACCCTGGCTCACGTTACTGGGTCGACCGTCGGCGGCGGCGGAGCTTGCCGACGTCAGGGACTCCGGCCCGCCGGCGCCATCTCCGCCTCCGCCACCGGCTCGAGCGCCGTCTGCGGACCCATACAGCTCGCCAGCACGCTCCAGCGGAATCCGTACAGTGTGGCGGTAGCTCGGGTGGTTAGCATGCCGCCGCTGCAGTACAACACCACCTCCTAGCACGCTACCGGGGCCCAATCCCCGCACACCCGACCGGTCCGTACGGCCGCGCGTAACCGCCGTTGCCCGTGCCGCCGCTGCCGCCAGCGGCAGCTCCCTTTCCCGCCAGGCGTTGTCGCTACGGCCGTCGTCATCGCCATCGCTGCCGCCGCCACCATCACCGCCGTCACGGTCGGGGGAAGTAAACGCCGCGGTCATTCGTAGATCCGGATCCGGACCCGGATCCGAGCCGAGCCCTCTTTCCCTTGGACCCTGGAAGTCCTTGCTCTTCCCGCCCCTTCCATCACCTTGCGCAAGAAAATCTAGTCGGGTGGGGCTGGCGGAGGCGCTGTAAGGCACCGCCCATCCACTCCTTTCCGGCCGTGTTTCCCCCTCCCCCCGGCCCGGGGGCAGGGGGCTGCTGATGGGGGTCGCCCCCTCCATGATGGGCGGAAGACCGGGTTCGGAAGGTTCTAGAACGCCTGCCGCATGGTGGAGCAGCAGATGAGGTAGATCATGAGGGATGATGATATGAAGGTGATGAGGTGATATGGGGGAACAAAGTCCAGGGATTTGGTTATTGTTATTGTTGTTATTGGAGTGGGGGGGAGGTTGGGGTCATATGCACGAAACTCAGAAATGAAGTGTCGTTGTTGTTGGGGTGTTGGAGGCGCAGGTGTGTATCACGGGCTGGCAGAGCGGTATTCTTCACTGCAGCGGCGCGGTGGGCGGGTGAGCCCCTCAGGGCTTCAAGGGGGCCGGGGGCCGGGGGAAAAGAGAGCGGTCTAGGGCGATGGAGGGGTAGATGATAGGACTCGGGACAAACTAGAGTAAAACCCTGATGCCCGGATGCATGGATGGCCGGATAAAATCTGGATGGATGGCAGCGTTTGGAGTATTTCGTTAGCTCTTGTTGTCTTGGAGTGGTTTCGGAGTTGAGCGCTCTGTGGAGTTGCGAAGAAGCGTTCGGGCAACCAGCTGCCGTACCAACTGACGCAGCCGTATGTCCTCAGGAATACCCCAACACGCCGTACACCCCTTCCTTGACATCTGTGGGAAGACATCTGGGCTTCCCACAACACACATACATACACACAAACATACATACATACATACATACATACATACATACATACATACATACATACATACATACATACATACATACATACATACATACATACATACATACATACATACATACTGAGTCGGGGTCGGGAGCACACAAGACTACCCGACTTGTGCTGTGTGCTCCCGACCCTTGCGCTGTGTTTCGGCTTCGGCCCCCGGCTCTCGCGGCCCACAGTGTAATCTAAGTCACACATACATACATACAAACACACATGCATACATGCATACACACATACATGCATGCATGCATACATACATACATACACACATACATGCATACATACATACATGCATACATACATACACACATACATGCATACATACATGCATACATACATCTCCAGCATTCCCTTGCCGTGGGCCAGAAAACTCATACACGTGCGCACAACTCCTTTCTGGCTTACCCACGTCGCCACTGCGCAACGAGGCCATCTGAACCTCCAGCCCCGAACCACGAAATGACCCAGCGGCCACGGGGGAGATGGGCTGCCCGAGTACGACACTGCCTCGACCACCAAGGCCCGCCGCCGCCGCCGCCCCGCCACCGGGGGATCTAGGCGGCAGCTGCGGCGGTTCCAGTCTCGTGTACGACGCAAACGACGGAAGCTGTAGCCCTGACATCTGAAACGAAACGTCCCCACCGCTGCCGCCGGCGGCAATGTCCATCACGCCGCCACCGCCGCCGCCGCCACCTCCAGCGACGTCAATCTCCGATTCCCACACTCTGAGGTCACCCCCGCCGCCGCTGCCGCCGCCGCCATCTGTACCGAAGCCCCCGCCGCCGGGAATGCTACCGCCGCCGCCGCCGCCGCTACGGCCACCAGCCGCCGCCGCCGCGGCCGTTGCTACTGCCACACATGACAGCTGCGCCACGTCGGGTAACTGCAGCGTTATGACGTCCAGGCAGGATATCCTGCGCTCAATACAGCGAGCCTTGCCCTTATGGAGGCCGGCCTTGTTGAGCAGCGCTAGACGGCCCTCCAACTCCACGGGTAACAGCTGTACGATCTTGATGGGCTCCGAAACACCCTTGAGCCTGCAGACATTTTTTTTTATTGCACATCTGTCTGTCTGTCTGTCTGTCTGTCTGTCTGTCTGTGTAGGTCTTTAACTGCCTCCGGAATAATAATAGTTAATTTATGCCGTACCGTATGGTTGTATGTATGTATGTATGTGATTGTGTGTATGGGGGGAGGGAAACGCTGTGCTGAGTGGATTAGATGCAGGTGGCAGGCAGGCCTAGGGTTTTAACGGGTTTTAACGGTTTGTCAGAGCGGGGTTTGAAAAGGCGTTACATCTCCCCCTTCAGGTGCAGTGTGCCCCAAAACCACTCCGTGTTCCCGGCACATTCTCGGTAACACACATTGTACGCGTGTTTGTGTAAATGCTTGTAGTACGGCCCACCGACCCACCGACCCCCCCACCTGAACACACCCAGACTCCAGACGGCCACCTCCACAGCCACAGTGGGCACCATCAGCACGTTGGTGGGCACCATCAGGTCGTCCGGCTCCTCCGCGTCATCGCGGTGCAGCTCCTGAGGGGAGGGAGCGGAGGAGGGAAGGGGGGGAGAGGGGAGGAGAGGGGGAAAGACGAACCACAAACGAGTGAAGAAGGGGGGCGGGGGGGAGAGGGGGGAAGAAGATGAACCATGAACCCCTGTGAAGGAGGAGGAAGGGTATGGAGGTATGGTAACGGGGGCAACACATAAAGAAACCGGCAGGAACACGAAAAGGCCTGGCGGCGGGTAATGTCCACCAGAGAGAAAGGGAGGGGAAGAAGGGAAAAAGGGGAGGAAGACAGAGGCGCGACAGGAGGGCAGCAGGTCCTAAAGACTCCGAGAAAAGCAACCGCCGCCATTTCCACGTCAGCCACCGCCCCACCAACCCACCCACGCATCCACACACCTGTTTGAGATTGGTGTACTTGATCATGGTAATGCTCTGGGGCACCTCGTTTCCGCCGCCGCCAGCACCGCCCGTCGGCTGCTGAGTGATCTTGTAGCACTCCGCCATCACGGCTGGCCGGTTCTCCTTGTTCTCCTTATCCACCTTGGCGGCGGCGGCGGCGGCGGTGGTGTTTCCGCCA